AGGCTGAGGTGGGAGGATAGCTTGAGCCTGGGGGGTTAAGGCTGCAATGAGCTGTGATCATACCATTGCACTTTAGCCTGAGTGAGACCCTGTCTCAAAAATAAATAAATAATATGTATATTTAACAACATGGATGAATCAGAAAATCACTATGCTGAGTAAAAGAAGCCAAGCAAAAAATGGTTCTACTTTATAAGTGTATTTATATATTTTTAGAACATACAGATTAATATATAGTGATAAAACAAGTTGATGGTTGCCTGAGGAATGGGAGGGGGCAGTGGAAGAATGGATTGTCAAGAGACAGGAGAAACATTTGATGGTGAGGGAGTTATTAATCATTTGGACTATGCAGATAACTTTATGACTGATACATACAGGAGTATCTTAGAGATATTGTGGGTTCAGTTTCAGACCACTACAATAAAGTGAGTGTCACAATAGAGTGAGCCGCACACATTTTTTGGTTTCTCAGTGCATATAAAAGTTATATTTACATTGTAGTATATGAAGTGTGCAATAGCATTATGTTTAAAAACAATGTACATACCTTAATTTAAAATGCTAACAATCATCTGAGCCTTTTGCAAGGCATAACCTTTTTGCTAATGAAAGGTCTTGCTTTGACAGCTGCTGATTGATCTAGATGGTGGTGTCAGAGGCATTTGAACCAGAGCAACTCCATCTTGAATAGGGGCTGGGTAAAATGAGGTTGAGACCTACCAGACTGCATTCCTAGGCTGTTAGGCATTCTAAGTCACAGGATGATATAGGAGGTCAGCATAAAATACAGACCACAAAGACCTCGCTGATAAAACAGCATGCAGTAAAGAAGTTGGACAAGACCCACCAAAATCAAGATAGTGATGAAAGTAATCTTTGGTCGTCCTCGCTCATTATAAGCTAATTATAATTCATTGGCATGCTAAAAGACACTCCCATCAGTGCTTTGACAGTTTACAAATGCCATGGCAACAGTCAAGAAGTTATCTTATATGATCTAAAAAGGGGAGGAACCCTCAGTTCTGGGAATTGCCCACCCTTTTCATGGAAAACTTTTGAATAACCCACCCCTTGTTTAGCATAATCAGGAAATGACCATAAAAGTGGCCGGCCAGGAACCATTGGGGCTGCTCTGCCTATGGAGTAGCCATTCTTTCTTTCTTTACTTTCTTAGTAAACTTGCTTTCACTTTATGGATTCCCCTTAAATTCTTTCTTGCAAAAAAAAAAAAAAATTCTTTCTTGCATGAACCCTCTCTTGGGGTCTGGATCTGGACACTTTTCCAATAACAGTGGTTGCTGAAGACTGGGGTGGTTGTGGCAATGAAGTCTGTCATATCTCTTGACTCTCTTTCATGAAAGATTTCTCTGTAGCACGTGATGCTGTTTGATAGCATTTTACCCAGAGTAGAACTTCTTCCTAAGTTGGAGTTGTGAACCCCCAATATTTGAGACAGGTCTCAGTTAATTTAGAAAGTTTACTTTGCTGAGGATGCCTGCTTGTTGACACAGCCTCAGGAGACCCTGACGACATGTGCCCAAGGTGGCCAGAACATGGCTTGATTTCACACTTTTTTTTTTTCTGCAAAGTATTCTCAGGATGGTTTTACACATTTTAGGGAGACATGAGACATCAATCAACATATGCACAATGAGCAGAGGTTCAGATGGGAAAAGTGGGACAACCCCAAGCAAAGGCAGGACAACTTGCAGCGGGAAGTGGGCTTCCAGGTCATAGGTAGATGAAAGACCAAATGGTGGCATTCTTTTGAGTTTCTGATTAGCCTTTCCAAAGGAGGCAATCAGATATGCATTTATCTCATTGAGCGCAGGGGTGACTTTGAATAAAAAGGGGAGGCAGATTTGCCCCAAGAAGTTCCCACGTTCCCACCTTAACTTTTCCTTTCAGCTTAGTGATTTGGGGGCCCCAAGGTTTATTTTCCTTTTATAGCTGAGTGGACAAGAAAACTAAGAAGACATTCTAGGCAGAGATGATCGAAGCAGCAGAGTAGGCTAACGTCAGAAGGAAAAATATACAGAATTCTTACGGATTTAGTTATTATTAGCTATAACCATAACAGGCACATGTCTTATTATACTGAACTATCTTTGCATTCCTAGAATAAAAACTATTTGGAAATGATGCATTCAACTTTCAAAATACTATTGTATTCAGTTTGCTAATGTTTTATTTAGGACCTTTGCATTTATTTTCATTATTAAGATTGGTGACCAGGTGCAATAACTCACTCCTATAATCCCTACACTTTGGGAGGTCGAGGCAAGTGGATTGCTTGAGCTCAAGAGTTCAAGACCAGTCTGGGCAACACGGCAAAACCCCATTTCTACAAAAAATTTGCTGGGCATGATGGTCACGAACCTGCAGTTCCAGCTGTTTGGGAGGCTGACGCAGGAGGATTGCTTCAGTCCAGGAAGTCAAGGCTGCAGTGAGCCCAACCTGGGCAATAGACTGAGACCCTGTCAGAAAGAAAGAAAGAAAAGAAAGAAAGAAAGAAAGAAAGAAAGAAAGAAAGAAAGAAAGAAAGAAAGAAAGAAAGAAAGAAAGAAAGAGAGAGAGAGAGAGAGAAAGAAAAGAAAAGAAAGAAGGAAGGAAGGAAGGAAGGAAGGGAAAACAAGACTGGTATATAGCTTTTTTTCTCTTTTCTTCTATTTCTCACTAATTTGGTTTTATAGTTGTGTTACCCTTATAGAACAAGTTACAGTTTCTCATCTCTCTAAATGTTCTATAATTAACCCTACCTCTAAAAGTTCTCATAGAATTGATGATACAAGAAATTTTCTGCCTCTTGTATCAATTTTTATAATTTATATTTTAAGATATTATTGTATTTTGTCAAAATTTTCACCATATTGACAGGTTAAACTATGAGCATTCTTATAATTTTCAAACTTCTCCTTATTTATTTTCTTCTACTTTCAATTTTCTTTTTAGTTTTAACCTGATTTCTCTTTCATCAGTTTTGCAACAGGATTGCTTGTTTCTGTAGGTTTGTTTATTTATTTTTTTGAGAAGGAGTCTCCCTCTGTTGCCCAGGCTGGAGTGTAGTGGCATAATCCCAGCTCACTGCAACTTCCGACTCCTGGGTACAAGCAATTCTCCTGCCTCAGCCTCTTGAGTAGTTGGGATTACACATGCCTGCCACCACTCCCAGCTAATTTTTATATTTTTAATAGAGACGAGGTTTCGCTATGTTGGCCAGGCTGGTCTCGAACTCCTGACCTCAGGTGATCTGCCCACCTTGGCCTCCTAAAGTGCTGAAATTACAGGTGTGAATCACTGCGTCCGGTCATTCTGTGGTACTTTTAACGGACTATTCGCTGGTGTTAATCTATCTTCCTTAAACTTTTGACAACATCAAGCATTCATTTTCTGTTTTATCATTTGTTTATAAATGATACAAACTCCTTTAAAAATAATCTATAGGATGTGATAGTAATTCACAGAAAAGGGGAGGCCTCTTGAGGCTGAAATTTCAAAGTTTACTGTTTATTGAGGTTGTACTCCATAACCAAAATTAATACAATGACAACCAATAAGAATCAAAAGCCCCTGCGCAGTGGCTCACACCTGTAATCCCAGCACTTTGGGAGGCTAAGGTGGGCGGATCACAAGATCATGAGTTCAAGACCAGCCTGGTCAACATAATGATACCTAAAATACACTCTACTAAAAATACAAAAATCAGCTGGGCATGGTGGCACGCACTGGTAGTCCCAGCTACTCAGGAGGTTGAGGCAGAAGAATTGTTTGAACCCAGGAGGCAAAGGTTGTGGTGAGCTGAGATCACACCACTGCACTCCAGCCTGGGCAACAGAGCAATTCCCCATCTCAAAAATAAAAATAATTTTAAAAAAGAATCAGAAAAGAGGCTGAGTGCAGTGGCTCACCTGTAATCCCAGCACTATGGGAGGCTTAGGCAGGAATATTGCTTGTGCCCAAGAGTTCAAGACCAGCCTGGGCAACATAGGGAGATCCTATCTCTACAATAAATACAAAAATTAACTGGGCACGGTGTTGTGCACCTGTGGTCTCAGCTACTCAGGAGGGTGAGGCAGGAGGATGACTTGATCACTTGAGCCCAGTAGTTCAAGGCTACAGTGAACTATGATCATGCCACTGCACTCTATCCTGGGCAACAAAGTGAGACCCTGTCTCTTAAAAAAGAGAAAAGAAAAAGAAAAAGGAAAACGAATACCTTATTTGTAATAACAGAATACAAATTTCATATGCAACATAAAATGCATACTGTATAATATAGTACTGGTATGATACTACATGTCAGCGATGATTTTAAGTATTTTAAAAATTCTATTCACCTCACATATTACAGGAGGAAAAAATGAAGCCACAATGGTAAAGAAACTAAGTTACACAGCTAGTAAATAGTAAAGCTGGGTTTCGAACTGGGTCCAATTCCTGCATATGTGCATTATGCTCTGCTATAGTGTGAATACATATGCACACATACACAGAAACTGTAAAACTGCTGAGAGAAATAAGAGAAAAATATGAGTAAATGAGAACCATATCAGGTTTTCTGATTTTGAAAACTCTCTATATTAAAATGTCAATTTTCTAAATTAATTTATAAATTTTATTATATCTCAATTAGAATCCCAGTTTTAAAAAATGTAAAATCTTGACAATCATATTTCTTATGTTTATTTTTAAGAATAAATCTTTCACAGTAGCCAGGAATTATTTTTAAAGAAGAGTAATGAATGAGATTGCCACACCAGAAATTAAAATTTTACCAGTGGGGGTGAGATGGGGGAGGGAGAGCATTAGGATAAACAGCTAATGGATGCTTGGTTTAATACCTAGGTGATGAGTTGACACGGCACACATTTACCTATGTAACAAACCTGCACATCCTACACATGTAACTAAAAATTAAAATTAAAATTTAAAAAATAAAAAGGACTATATACCCCAAAACTTAAAATTTTAATAATCAAAACAGTAGTATTAGCTCAGGACAAATTAACAGAACAAATTAAGTATGTAGAATTTAGTACATGGGAGTAAATGGTAAAGACGTAATTTAAAATAAAAGGGAAAAGTCAAAAAACAGTGTTGAGGTAATTCATTAAACTTTGTAAGAAAAATATTAAATCTAGAACACATTTTATGCCTTACACACCCATATATACATATATCATCCTAGAGGTTCTAAATGTAAAAGATGACATGATAAAAACAGAAGAAAATATATTTGAAAATTTATGCAATCTTTGGGATGGAGTTGGCTTTTCCAAATATGGCCCTAAAGGCAGAAACTATAAGAAAGAGAATGATAAATTTCGCTATGTAAAAATTAAAACTAAAAGATGAAAAATTATTTCCTCAATTTTCTTACTAGCTTCTGATTTTAAGTGAAATATAAAACCGTGTTTGTTAAAGGTGTGTAACGCTGGTGTTCTTACGTGGAGAACATAAAATGTTGTTTAAGACATTTTATCAGAATGGGAGAATTGTTTTCCTTCTGCGTAAGTGAACAATAAATACTATGTGTGAGAATGAGTCATATCCTCAAATACTCTTATTTTCAGTGACCAACAAATCTCTCATGATTCTCATGAAAGAATCTTAACAAACATTTACTCATTCATTTACCTCTTATTCAAAAACTACTTAGACCAAGGTATTGAGATAGGATATATATGGGAAAACAAAACTCTGATGCCATAGGTAGGGTAGCAGAAATAACTTTCAACTGAGACAGAATTTTCCAGTTGGAGCTTCGGTTACCCTGGAACATTTATGCTCTTGGGCAGGTCACTTCACATCTTGGAGCTTTAGTTTCCTTACTAATAGTAAAGTATAATAATACCTTGGAGAGTTGCTATGAAGATGAGAACCAAACAAACATTTACTGAGCTCCTACTCTTTGTCAGGTTTTTAACATACATGAAACAGTGCTTGGCCAGGTGTGGTGTCTCATGCCTGTAAACCCAGCACTTTGGGAGGCTGAGGCAGGCAGATCACAAGGTCAAGAGATCAAGACCATCCTGGTCAACTTGGTGAAACCCTGTCTCTACTAAAAATACAAAAATTAGCTGGATGTGGTGGCACATGTCTGGAGCCTCAGCCACTGGGGAGGCTGAGGCAGAATTGCTTGAACCTGGGAGGTGGAGGTTGCAGTGGGCCGAGATCACGCCACTGCACTCCAGCCTGGCAACAGAGCAAGACTCTGTCTAAAAAAAAAAAAAAAAAAAAAAGAGAGTGTTTATAAAATGTTACACAAAAAGGTTACTATCACATAACAAATTCCTTGCTCTAAAGGAGTGTGAGTAGAAGGACAAAAGAGCATACATACAATTAATGATAACAAAATTTGAAAGTAAGAAAAGCTCTACCAGTAAAAAAGAAAAGAGCAGATCAGAGATCAGGAAATTTAACTGGGAAGCTTGAACTGGGCTTTGACAAATGAATAAGTACTTGGACCTATGAGGATGTGTGAGAAAGATCATGTAGACAGAGGGCATATGCTATGGTTTGAATATTTGTTTGCTCCAAAACTGATGTTGAAATTTAATCCCCAATGTAGCAGTATTGAGAGAAGGGGCCTTTGAGAGGTGATTGGGTCATGAGGGCTCTGCCTTCTTGAATGGATTAACCCATTCATGAATTAATGAATTAATGGGTTATTATGGGAGTGGCATTGGTAGCTTTTTAAGAAGAAGAGAGACCTGATCTGCCATGCTTATCCCCCTGGCCATGTGATACCCTGTACCAGTTGGGGGCTTTGCAGAGTTCCCACCAGCAAAAAGACTCTCACCAAATGCAATCCCTTGACCTTGGACTTCTCAGCCTCCATAACTGCAAAAAATAAACTCCTTTTCTTATAAATAACTAATTTTCAGGTATTTGGTTATAAGCAACAGAAAATGGACTAAGACAGTACAGTATGAGAGGGAGCAAACAGAAGAAATGAAAGCAAAGATAGTATGGAGAAAACAACAGTAATTTAACAGTAGTGTAGGGTGGATGAAGGTCAGCAGTAGCTGGAAAAAGCATGGAACCAGATCACAAAGAGTCCTGAAGGCCACACTAAGGAGTTTAGAATTCATTCCTTAGGAAATGAAGACTTGTGTGAAATGTACAAACTTTGGCATTAGACTTGTCTTGGCCCCTCACTTCTTAGCTATATAGTTTTGAGCAAGCCACTTGACCTCTTTAAACCTCAGTTTGCTCTTTTATCTAATAGAGAGACTAATACTAACTTATGTACCAAGCTTCGTACCTTGAAAATAGGAGATGCTTGACATATCAAAGTTATTATTGGTTAACTACCAAAGGACTTTAATTAGAGTAGTAAGTATAATCTTATTTGACAGCACTATGTAGACTAGATTAGAGGCTGGGAGAACAGCTATGAGAAAATTACAGTAGTCTAGGAAAGAGGTAGTGGAGTCATAGGAATACAAAAAAGTTTTAAAGTAAAAGGTTCAAAATAAGAGTGTTAGAAAATATTTTTAGAAGCACTTTTTAGATACAGAAAAGACATGATAGGAGACAGAATGAAGATGTACATTAGAGGGAAACACCTACAAACTAAGTTCTGGAGGAGGTGAGTGGGGATGAGATATCGAATTCAAGGGAAATAGTACTCTGCTTTTCTTATCTGTTTGTACACTGTAATACAGAATGTATTTTTGTAGGTATAAATAATTTGGAGGATAAGATAAGACATAAAGATTAAAAGATAATATATTAGAAAGAAAGAGAAATACTTATTCACAGAAAGAAGAGAGTAAGAAAATGCCAAATGAGGCTAAATGGACATTTTGAGATAAAAAGAGAAAAGTGGAAAAAAACACAACTTCCCACTCAAGCAGAATATGAGGTCACCTGCAGGAAATGAGATAGGCCTTATATATATGACTAGAAGAGTATGGAGAATGTGGGAATAGATTAGTCTAGATCAAGATTTCTTAGATTTCATTTAACAGATCATTCTTTTTGGGGAGCATGGAGTCTGTCCTGTTCATTGCGGAACATTTAGCAACATCCTTGACCTCTACCTATTAGATACCAGGACCCTTTCCCCTAGTATTTTGTTTGTTTGTTTTTTGAGATCGAGTCTTGCCCAGTTTCCCAGGAAGGAGTGCAATGGTGTGATCTTGGCTCACTGCATCCTTTGCCTCCCGGGTTCAAGTGATTCTCCTGCCTCAGTCTCCCAAGTAGCTGGGATTACAGGCACCCACCACCATGTCCAGCTAATTTTTGTATTTTTAGTACAGATGGGGTTTTACCATGTTGGCCGGGCTAGTCTTGAACTCCTCACCTCATGATCGGCCCACCTCAGCCTCCCAAAGTGTTGGGATTACAGGCATGAGCCTTGTTTCTCCAAAAGCTTAGGCATCCATTGCAGGACATCTGGTGTGGAGGTGGGCTGTTGAAGGTCGACACACTGGGTATAGAAGACTCACCACCATAGGTGGAAGGTGGGGTCTTGAGATGGGAATAGAGGCCAGAGAAATATCTTCCAGTTGGGGGAGTACATGATGACCCAGGTCCCACAAGGTTGTTGCTCAGTTTTCAATAATCCTGGACCAGCTTTAGTTCCACTGGATGCAGCTCTGCTCGCCCCAAGCTAGGGGGGAAGGGCCTGGCAGGTGAAGACCACACCTGAGTAGCAGGAGCAGGTGGGGGCCACATAGCCAGGCTGGCTTTCCCCCAGTTTTGACCAACAAAAACTTCTTCAGACATGCCCGAATGTCCCCGTAAGGGACAAAGTCACCTCCAAATGAGAACCAGTGGTCTAGATGTTATTAGAATACGATAAGGGGCCATTTAGAAATAAACAGGTAGGGCTGGGTGCAGTGGCTTATGCCTGTAATTCCAACACTTTGGGAGGCTGGAGCAGGTGGATCACCTGAGATCAGGAGTTTGAGATCAGCATGGCCAACATGGTGAAACCCCTTCTCCAGTAAAAATACAAAATTAGCCAGGCATGTTGGCGCGTGCCTGTAATCCCAGCACTTTGGGAGGCCAAGGCAGGTGGATCACCAGGTCAGGAGTTTGAGACCAGCCTGGCTGATATACTGACACCCATCTCTACTAAAAATACAAAAATTAGACGGGTGTGGTGGCACACACCTGTAATCCCAGCTACTCAGGAGGTTGAGGCAGGAGAATCTCTTGAACCTGGGAGACAGAGATTGCAGTGAGCCAAGATCGCGCCGCTGCAATTCAGCCTGTGAGACAGAGCGAGACTCTTGTCTCTAAATAAATAAATATATAGATAATGTCTTGTTTGAGACTCTATTCCTCACACCTAGAATATTGTTGGCATACATCAACACATGCTGTCTATACCAAATGAATGGAAATAATGATTGACAACTGGCATTGAAAGTCTAGCTAAAGTTGCACAGCATATATTTGTAGTGCAACTAATGAGCCTGATTTTGTGGTTTTGCTATTTTCTTCCAAAATGATAAAGAGCCCAAGCAGAGAACAAGTGAAATAGTTTCTGGTTTTTGGAAGCAAGAAACCAAAGAAGAAGGGTACTTAAAGAAGATAGTCAATAGTCTATTAAATGATAAATAGATGGTCAGTAGATGGTCATTAACATTACTGTTTCTAGGTGTTCTTCTTTCCTGTAAGAGACAACACAAGTTATCTTTCTCCTGAAGTTGTACATACTGAGCACACATAGTAGGTATTCAAAAATCATTTGTTAAATTAGCTTATATTCTGAGACACATGATTAAGTCTAAATTACATGAGAATTGTTGTTTACAAAATATTTTTATTTATGGGAAAGGTCTACTTGCAGCTTTTCATAAAATGATTTTTCTTGCCTATGAAATTATTATTAATGTAACATTCTTCTCCCCAAGTTTAGCCCAATGCCCCATCTCCTTCATTTTGTTTGTTTGTTGTTTTTGTGATGGAGTCTCACTCTGTTGCCAGGCTGGAGTGCAGTGGTGCGATCTCAGCCACTGCAATCTCCGCCTCCCAGATTCAAGCAATTCCCCTGCCTCAGCCTCCCAAGTAGCTGGAACTATAGGTGTACACCACCACCTCTGGCTAATTTTTTTCTTTTTGTATTTTTGTAGAGCTGGGGTTTCACCATATTGGCCAGGATGGCCTCAATCTCCTGACCTCATGATCCACCATAAGACATAAAAGCAATCAAAGATATCTCAAACAACATTAAGACTTATTTTGGTGAGAGAAAGATATAATAGTTTTTCCACGTTTTATAAGGATGATGTTTGTTACCTTGGATATTTGAGACATCTATTATAACTTATTAAAGTTCAAATTTGCAAGTTTAGACCTTTGGCTGTTATTTGTTTTGCAAGTTACATCTTCCATCAAGTACACAGTCTGCTATATTGTGACTTTTGTGGTCTAAACAGCTAGACTTCCCATTGGTGCAGATAATCTGGTAAAATATCTAAATGAGTTATCTAATCAATTTTTTTGCATCTCTATAACTTATTTGTTGAAATAATAAAGCACTATTTCCTTTTTTAAACTTCCATATTCTTATGACATTAATTTTCTCAAGGAATAATATTTACGTAAATGGTTTCTTTTCCCTATTACATTGAAAGAGTAGAATCAGTTTGCTCTCCCCAACTAGCACATTTACTTGCTCATAATATACGCTTAAAAATAACTGATGGATAAATCAATAAGTAAGGTTATACCTCACAGGGCAGAAGTCAGAAGACCTGAGTTCTAGATCTGCCTATGTAATTCTGGGCAAACTGCTTAACTTCACTGGACCACATCATACGCAAGGTTTTAGGGTAAATATTACCTAGGCAAATGTGAAAGCATGGGATTAGTACTTCTACATTTCCCATGGAAATGGTCGCCCAATTGCCACTTTTTCTTCTGGGTTACAAAGTGAAGTCTAAGCATAGATAAAGTTTATGACAAGAATCTTGGCTTACCTGAATTTTTCAGGTAAAAGATCCAATAAGCATATGATATGTGAAATTGTTCATAATCAGAAAAGCATTGAGGGGTTGAACATATGGGACAGAGAAAAGTAATAGTGTTTACAGAGACAAATACTGCCAAAATAGGCTAGAACAATATTTGTCTTTTTGTATCTGAAAAGAGGTAATCTACATGAATATGAAATGTTAGGTTTCCCTTCCATACTTGCAAAAATTTCTTTACATGCTGTTGCTACCATACCTCTTTTCCAGCAGTAATTATCCAGCTTAATTAGACTGAATATGTTGTATTAAAATGTTTGCTCTCAGTCTATTGGTGTAAAACAGTCCCTTAATGGTGATCAAAAGATAGTATGTGAGGTTACACCTATAAATTAGCAGCCAGAAGACAATAAATTACTTATGCAACATATTTGTGCAATACTTTTTATTCCATATCCAGATTTTCTGCATGATCTGGTTTGAGCTAATCTGTAATTCTGTCTCAAGCTGATTATCTGTTATATTCATGCCATGTTTACTTTTGCACAGGCATGTATGTGTGTGTGTGTGTGTAATATTTCATACACGTTTGCTCCTGCAAAAACCCTGAAAACCTATATTTAGTAGGAAGTACAAGAAAATTGATAGTCATTATTTCAAAATAACCTAGTGCCAGATGTGAAGAAGTGAATGTAATTAAATATTCATCACAGTACTTACTCTAGATAAGGCATTGTGCTAGTTACATAAAGATAATTAAGACATGATTCATGGCCATGATATCAAGAAGACTGAAGTCTGATGGGGAAGGCAGACATGAACAAAACAATTATAATGCAAAACATGAAAAGGATACTAACAAAAATTGTAGGAATAACAAAAGGTAACCACTAATTCTCACTAAGAGTGCCAGTGGGAGGAGGAAATATATTAAATTAAAATTTATAGAATAAGTAGGATTTCAACATGTGATCAGAGTACAAAATAAATTAGCAGGAACAAAGACTTAGGAGTGGGAGAATCTGAGAGATATTCAGAGAATGGCCAACAGTTCAGGATTCCATAATAAATGGGATTGACTGCGAGTTGTTCCATATAAGGATTTCAGGTTTTATGCTGGAGGTGACAGTTGAACGAATTTAAGCAGGAAAGTGGTATTCTCAGTTAACTGTTTTAGAAATATCATCCTGGCAGCAGTGTTTAGAATCACCTAGAGAGAAGAAAAATAAGATCAACTCAGACAAGGATTTATGAGCTTCTTGAAGGCAAAGATTTGTTTTCCTTATTTTTTGCATCATCAGTGCCTAGTATTGTGCCTGGTGCAAAGTATGATCTCAATAAACATTAAATGTTATTACTATAGTCTTAACAGCACAGCATGTGAGTACAACAATGAAGGTTGATATTATTACAAAAAATTTCTGTAAATGTGTGGAATTGGTCTGGACAGTAGACAGATTTTTTTCTTCCTTCTCATCCTCAGCTTAGTTTATATGCAAGTGTGTATCTAAACTTGTTGTATTTCCATTTAGGTTCAAAATAACAATGGTGCAAATAATGAATTAAAATTTATAGGGAAAAGCAATTGTTCTAAGATTGTCATCATATGTAAACTTTTAGAAATAATGATGCAGAACCTTATCTATGAAGAAATAAACAGATGATTTGGATATGGTAAAATTCTCTGTAAATATAGAAAGAAAAGTATCTTTAGAAATTCACCAAGATAAGCAGGGGGAAAACTCTTAAAACACATGGATGACTCAAAAGCAAATATTCCTTGTAGAGAGTGTATGCTGTCATTCAGAGTTTGGGCTCTGCAGCCAGACTGCCTGGATTTGCAACTCTGTCTTATACTTCCAAGCTCATCTTGGGTAAGAGACTTAAGTGGTCAATACCCCAGTTTTCTCTTCTGTAAACTGGAGTTTGTAATATTTGTAAACTTACCTAGTTTATGAGTTGTTTCAAAGTGTTTAGAACAGTGCTTGGCAAATAATAAGTACTAAATACAATTTAGATGTTCTCTTCTTTTCTTTGTTTGAGGCAGAGTCTTACTCTGTCGCTCAGGCTGGAGTGCAGTGGGGTGATCTTGCTCACTGAAACCTCCGCCTCCCGAGTTCAAGCGATTCTCTTGCCTCAGCCTCCTAAGTAGCTGGGGTTGCAGGTGTGTGCCACCACACCTGGCTAATTTTTTTTTTTTTTTTTGAGATGGAGTCTTATTCTGTCACCCAGGCTAGAGTGCAATGACGTGATCTCGGCTTACTGTAACCTCTGCCTCCCAGGTTCAAGTTATTCTCCTGCCTTGGCCTCCCAAGTAGCTGGGATTACAGGTGCCCGCCACCACATCCAGCTAATTTTTGCATTTTTAGTAGAGACAGGGTTTCGCCCTGTTGGCCAGGCTGGTCTTGAACTCCTGACCTCAGGTGATCATCCCACCTTGGCCTCCCAAAGTGTTGAGATTACAGGTGTGAGGCACAGTGCCCAGCCTGGCAGCTATTTTTAAGTTAGTATTCTAAATGCGACAGAGATTGCTGAGTATTTCCCAATATCTGCTTTTTGCTTATATTAATAGAATCTAATTATAACTATGCAAATAACTGTCCAGAATGAACACTGCATCTTCCAGCTTTTACTGCAGCTAAATGTGACCATGTGACTTGGGCCTGGCAAATGAAATGTAAGCAGAAGAGTCAAGTGGCAGCTTACAGAAAACTTTCTTAATAGACAACTAGACATCTACTAGAACTCCAAATTTTCAAGTATGAAATTGCTAAGGGTTGTTGAGATATAAAGCAGTAGAGAGTGTCAGACATTACTGATGGATGTATGAATTGGTATAATCACTTTGGAAAACAGTTTGGTGTTAGTCAATAAATGTGAAGATATGTATACTCAATAATCCAGAAATTTTTCCTAAATCTATATTCTAGAGAAGCATATATGTATACTAGGATACATATACATGGATATTGTAGCAGCATTCTTTGTAATAGACAAAAATTATAAGAACTCAAAGGTCCATCAACAGTTTAATGAATAAACTGAAGTATGTTAACACAATAGGATACTATTGTATCCTATTTAATTATCATACATAATTGAAATCATCATATATAATACATTGAATGAAATTGATGAAACTAACTCATCATATACTATACAACATCCATTGAATAGAAGAAGCAAGAACCAAAGTAACACAAACACCATGATTCAAAAATAGGCAAACTATGTCATCTAGAAAGGCATACTTGGGTGAAACACTTTAAAGAAAAGCAAGGCAATGATTACCACAACTCAGAATTATAGTAATCTCTAGGTCTAGAGGGAGACTTCCTCTAGGGAGAGTTGTGATTAGAAAGGAAAAGTGGGCTTCTGAAATTCCAATGCTGTTACTTCATTTGAGGGGAGGCTCCATTGATGTTCCCTTAAAATAATTTTTATAACTATACATTGTGGTATAGTTTCTATGTAAACATTATATTTCTATGTGAACATTATATTTTACAACTTAAATTACATATATATAAAGTATATATATATAAAGAGATATTGTGCCTTTGGCTTTTGCTCCTTTTCAGTCCTTCCTCCATCCTGCTTCCTGAAACAGATACTGCCACCAGAGACCATGAAAACAAGGACCACTACACAGAAATATCAGAAAAAGGACCTGGTAGGAAGGTAAGTCCCAGAGGACTTAGTGGGGCAGAGTTACCATATTAGTTCTTAGCCTTTGTACCTCATGACTTCATTTACATGATAGAGAAATACATTTAATATTATTTTAGAATTTTCTGTTATTTACACAGGCCTGATTTTAACTAATACACATTTACACTAGATTTTCAACCTGCCCAATAAAAAATCACTTGCTCTCATACACACACACAAACATACATAGATGCATACACATATACATAATACACACATACACAGGCACATGCATAATTAGGCAATTCATGGAAGAAGAAATCCAAAGGATTCATAAACATCTAAAGCATGTTTAATCTCAGCAGTAGTTAGAGAAATGCAAATTAAAACAATATATTGCTTTTCAGAAATTTTGGCCAGGCTGATGATTTCATGTATCAGCCTGGCCAAAATTTCTGAAAAGCAGTATATTCAGTACTGTTGGGCATTCAGGAAAATGATGATCCTTTTCTGATGCTGTTAATGTAAACTGCTATACATTTTTGGAAGGAAAATCGGCAATATCTATTAAATTTGAAATGCCCTTACAATGTGAGCCAGCAAGCCAAAACAAATCTATGCCACAGAAAGTATTCAAGAGCATATGTCAAGAATTCTTATTGCAACATTATTTGTCAGGTAAAAATCTGGAAACAATCTGTTTATCCATCAGTAGTGGAATGTTTAGATAAATCATGGAACGTAGTTACTATAAAATATTATGCAGCTATTTTTAAAAGTACTCCTTTTGGCCAGGCACGGTGGCTCATGCCTGTAATCCCATCACTTTGGGAGACTGAGGCTGGTGGATCACAAAGTCAAGAGATCGAGACCATCCTGGCTAATATGGTGAAACCCCATCTCTACTACAAAAAAAAATACAAAAAATTAGCAGGGTGTGGTGGCATGGGCCTGTAGTCCCAGCTACTCCAGAGGCTGAGGCAAGAGAATCACTTGAACCTGGGAGGCAGAGGTTGCAGTGACCCTAGATCATGCCACTGCACTCCAGCCTGGGCAGCAGAGTGAGACTCTGTCTCAAAATAAAGTACTAATTTTTATATATAATTAGCCAATCAACTTTGTATATGCGTATCTGAATAAACTTGTATGAACATACAACAAAGTGTGAAAAGAATCAACCCAGATTATTAATATTGGTTGCCTGGGAGTTGGGATGGGAATGGAAATTACCTTTTCTGTATACATCTTTGGATGGTTTTCCTGGTTATAGTGAAGATAAGCACATGTTATTTTTGTCTTTTTGTTGTTGTTTGTTTGTTTTTGAGATGGAGTCTCAGCTGGAGTACAGTGGCACAATCTCGGCTCACTGCAACCTCCACCCTCCAGGTTCAAGTGCTTCTCCCACTTCAGCCTCCCAAGTAGCTGGAATTACAGGCACACATCACCACATCTGGCTGATTTTTTTTTTTTTTTTAGTAAAGATGAGGTTTCACCATGTTGACTAGGCTGGTCTTGAACTCCTGACCTAAGGTGATCCACTCACCTTGGCATCCCAAAGTGCTGGGATTACAGGCATGAGCCACTGTGCCCAGCCAATTTTTGTAACTTTTACAATGATATTTAATTTAAAATTGATTTTAATAAAAGGGAGACATTCAAGAACACAGAATGATTAATGCACCTCAATGTTAGGTGAATATCTTTAAAACTGGTTATTGCCAAAAAAAAAAAACCAACTGGTTATTGCCAAACATTAAATCCATATAACTGAAGCAAACTGCAACACCTGTACAAAATAAAGGAAGTAAGAAAATAAAGTAACTTATTCACTGAAATTTCACAATTAGTATTTGAACAATCAACTCAAAAGACACCCATGTCCAATAAAATAAATAAATGCATGTTACTTCTTGCAATCTTCCGGGAAGGAGTTTAATACCAAGCCATTTCATGGAAAAAAACAGGAATTAACAAATACGGAGAAAAGAATAATTATTCATCAGGCGAGTCTAGCGATACTTAAATGTGTGTATGTAAGGGGGTGGCTGTTAATTAAGGTATAAAATCCACATGTGCCAATTGAAACTCAGGATCTTCCTGCCCCTGCTCAAATGGTTCTTACGCTACCAAGGCATGAGCAACACCTAGCCAGACCCCTGAGGCACGTTTGCCTCCTCCCTCTTGCCTTCCTCTTTCCGTGAATGCTAGATCCTCCCACTCTTGGCTCTGGAAGGCTGCTGCCCTCGCCCTCCCGCTAACCTTGCCGCGTTTTGCCCGGCCTCGCTGCCAATATGCGAGCCTCCACTCCCAAAGAAGCCCAGACTGGGTTGCAGGGTCTTCTCAACCCTTCATACCCAGATCTTTCTGGCCTTCCGCGGACTTCTTCACCGTCGCCCTCCGCCCAGTGCTACCAGGATTCCACTCACTCCCGAGAACCTCAACGCTGCCCAGGCTGTGGCCTCAGATCCTCACAAGCCTCAGCTCCCTAGGCTGCGCCCACTCGCCGACGGAAGTTCCCGGAGCCCAAAGGACGGGCCAGGGGCGGGGCCTGGTCTGGCCAATAGAAGCACAGAATCTAGGCTCAGCGGTCACGTGTCAGGAGGGCGGGAATTTAACGCCGGGAAGACCCGCAGGAGGCAATTTTACCTCAGGTAAGTCCGTGAGAGGCTGGAGGCAGAAGAGAGAATGTTTTTGAGGGCTGAGGGGAAGAAAAGATCGTATTGGACTAAAGAAATATGGCAGCTCAGGAATCTCTGGAAAACACATCGGTGAGGCCCGGCCGATGTGACTCTGCAGGGACAAAACCCCAGACCCACCATCCACTTAACCTAATTAGGTGAGAATAGAAGATGTGAAGGGCTCAGAGATACTGGTGGGATTTCAGCCCATCAGCTAGACGTTGTATGGGCTAGGCCGGGTGCGGTGGCTCACGCCTATTATCCCAGCACTTTGGGAGGCCGAGGCGGGTGGATCACGAGGTCAAGAGATTGAGACCATCCTGGTCAACAAGGTGAAACCCCGTCTCTACTAAAGATACAAAAATTAGCTGGGCATGGTGGTGTGCACCTGTAATCCCAGCTACTCAGGAGGCTGAGGCAGGAGAATTGCCTGAACCCAGGAGGCGGAGGTTGTGGTGAGCCGAGATCGCGCCATTGCACTCCAGCTGGGTAACAACAGCGAAACTCCGTCTCAAAAAAGAAAAAAAGTTGTATGGGCTAAACAATAAGGGAAAATGGATATACCTCGCCTCCTCTGCGATGTTACGTTTCTTTGTTTTAAGACAGAGTCTCTTTCTGTTGCCCAGGCTGGAGTGCAGTGGCGCGATCTCGGCTCACTGCAACCTCTGCCTCCTGGGTTCAAGCGATTCTCCCGCCTCAGCCTCTGAGTAGCTGGGATTACTCAGAGTGGTAGGTGCCCGCCACCACGCCCGGCTTTTTTTTTTTTTTTTTTTTTTTTTTGAGGCAGTCTTGCCTTGTCGCTCAGGCTGGCTTGCAGTGTTAACGATCTGGGCTCACTGCTACCTCTGCCTCCCAGGTTCAAGTGATTCTCCTGCCTCAGCCTCCCGAGTAGCTGGGATTACAGGCCCGCTTTACCACGACAGGCTAATTTTTATATTTTTAGTAGAGAGGGGGTTTCGCCATGTTGGCCAAGGCTGCTCCCAAACTCCTGACCTTAGGTGATCCTCCCGCCTCAGCCTTCCAAAGTGCTGGGATTACAGGGGTGAGCTACCGTGCTGGCCCGGGCAAATTTTTGTACAGACAGGGTTTTGCTATGTTGCTCAGGATGGTCTTGAACTCCTAGCCTCCGGTGATCCGCCTGCCTCAGCCTCCCAAAATGCTGGGATTACAGGGGTGAGTTACCTCGCTGGGTGATCTTATGTTTTGTGGTTTTTATGTGAGGGAGTGAAGAAGGCAGAAAGCTCCTGATGTCTTAGGTTGTTGGGAAGAAGTGGGAAGGCAAACTGAAGATTCACACTCACCTGCGAGTGCTTTTAAATAATCCCAGGGCCCGGCACGGCACAGTGGCTTGTGCCTGTAATCCCAGCACTTTGGGAGGCTGAGGCAGGAGGATTGCCTGAGCTCAGGAGTTCTAAATCAACCTGGCCAACATGGTGAAACCCGTCTCTGTTAAAAATACAAAAATTAGCCGGGCACAGTGGCACCCGCCTGTAATCCCAGCACTTGGGAAACTGAGACAGGAGAATAGCTTGAACCCGGGAGCAGGAGGTTGCAGTGAGCAGAGATCCCACCACTGCACTCCAGCCTGGGCGACAGAGGGAGACTCTGTCTCAAAAAATAAATAAGTAAATAAATAAAATAATAATAATCATCATCATCATCATCTTGGGAAAGCTGACTTCCTGGCCTTGTGCCTGACCTCATTATGGTGTGCATTTCCATTTTGGCCCAGTAGATGTCAGTCAGGAAGCACCAGAGAAATAAAATCTTTAGAAATAGGTAAGGAAAAATATTCGAGAATTGTTGCACTTCAAAAGCTGATAATTTTAAATTACCTTCTCTCCATGATTTTGTTCATTTCCCCCATATCTTTGGTTTTAGAAATAAGAGCAATCTATCTTGTATCCACTCCACTCACCACTGTTAGATTGATTCAATATCTGTAATGCAATGAAATAAACTTGATAAATGGAATTATAAGAATGTATATAATATATGGCATCTTATTTAAGTAGTACATATTTAGCATGAATTTCAGTGGTTGACTTCAATACAAAGGTAATTATTAAGGTAATTAGTGAGAGTGATAAATGTGAAGTCGATGGAAATACTAGGCTTCACAAGAAAAGTTAATATAAATGCTGACAATAAGCTGAGTGTGTAACGTCGGTAGAGTTGAGTTTATTGTTATCTTTTTGAAACGGCTTTTAGAATGAGATAATCAGTTTCTTCTGAAAGCACAACATCAAGAAATGGAATCCTAGAATCAGTATTTGCTTGAAAGATCAGTGATACACTGGATGGAAAAGACATAGAGGTTCAGTGATTGGAAATATTCTCAGAGAAGTAACCATCAGTAAAATAATGCCATGTTGGTCTCGTTTAAGAGTGAAAGAGGGTGGCTACACTATATATTCTCCACACCACAGAATCTAAGAATATTAAAGACAATTCAGAGAACATATTTGGCTCATTTTAATTGGAAAACATTGTAATATCCAAAATCCTTCCGAGTCATTAATCAAATAATTGTGCTCTGGATTGTTTTTGTTTTGTTTTATTTTTGGTTTTGTTTTTGAGATAGAATCTGGCTCTGTTGCTCAGGCTGGAGTGCCCAGGCACGATCTTGAGTCACTGCAACCTCCACCTCCCAGGCTCAAGTGATTCTTGTGCCTCAGCCTCTTGGGTAGCAGAGACTACAGGTACACACCACCATGCCCAGATAATTTTTGTGTTTTTAGTAGAGATGGGATTTCGTCATGTTGACCAACCTGGTCTCAAACTCTTGACCTCAAGTGATCTTCCGCCTTAGCCTCCCAAAATACTGGGATTACAGGCGTGAGCCAACGCGGCTGACCTGGATTGTTTTAGGTTTGTTTTTAGTTTTTTTCTGAAAGTTTTAATTTTTTTTTAATTTATTTTTTTAAGACAGGATCTCACCATGTTGGTCAGGCTGGTCTTGAACTCCCGACCTCAGGTGATCCACCCACCTTGGCCTCCAAAGTGCTTGGATTACAGGCGTGAGCCACCATGCCTGGCCAGTTTTTTTCTGAAAGTTTTTAAAAGTTTTACTGAAAGTTTTACACAGCTGTAATTCCTTGAATTCTCAAGTAAATGAGAACCATCCTGGGCTATTTCAGCATTCTAAATTTTACTTATTGCTTCATTCGATGGATTTGTTGATTTACCAATATGCCATTGTTATTTTCTTCCAAATAAGTTAGTTACCAGAAAATTCTAACTTTAGGCTTCTTATTTTCTAAGTAAGAGAATGGAAACAGTTTTGCAAATTGTTTCCCAATTTCCCAAATCCCCACTGTTGCAGCACAGAATTCTGCCTTTGGTTATCCAATTCCAAGACCACTTGGAAAATATGGTTAGTCTGGGAACACTACTCTGGTAATCTTGTGAATTTCAACCTCTTTTGCGACAAAATGATCACATTAAATATATTCCCACCAACCAACTAACAGCTATATGGTTTAAACAATATGAAAAATATTCAGTTTTATATCAATATACATTATTTTCATATTAGATTTAAAATTAGAGTAAATTATATTATTTTTTACCAATGATTACCATTCAGTCTTTTTAAAAGTGAGTAAACCAAAGTTTTGTGATTAAGATTTTCTGCACTTGACTTGCTATTTCATCAATGCTAATTTTAATTTTTATATTTCCAGATGTTGAAATTTACACTGCTTTAAAAGAAAGAAGATATGTTTTCAGCATTCAAATATCATGCAATAGACTATTTATATGAGGTAGAGTGTTAGTGGATTACTGCCTATTTACTAAGAATTATGATGGGAAAAGTGTTAACTACATTCAATATAGGTTGAGTATCCCTTATCTGAAATGCTTAGGACCAGAAGTGTTTCAGATTTCTGATTTTTTTTTCAGATTTCGGAATATTCTTATATATATAAAATGAGATATCTTGGAAATGGGACCCAAGTCCAAGCACAAATTTATTTATATTTTATATACACCTTATCCACATAGATTGAAGGTAATTTTATACAATACTTTGTGCATGAAACAAAATTTGTTCACATTGAACCAACCATCAAAAAGCCGGTATCTTCGCCACCCAGGTGGCATCATATTGGCACTCAAAAAGTTTTGGATTTTGGATTTCAAATTTTTGGATTAGAGATGCTCAACTTATGTGTGATAATTTTTCAGTAATCCTTAGATCGTTTATTAGTCTAATTATTTTTGGATTTATTTAAAATTATTTTCCACATTTAATATATCTTTAAAATGCCACTTTTGGAAGTAAATTATTAAAATAATCAAAAAATTAAAACCAAACAATTAAAATGAATCTGAAGCTGGCAGGAGAAAAAAATGGAAACTCTTGGCAAGTTTGGGATGATTTTGCTAACAATCTGGAGTGATCTTTCTTGAAAGGAGTGGAGAAAAAAGAATCCCTGTTATCTTTAGAAGATAATACTGAGAGCATACATTGACCAGTTTCTGTGGGACAGATACTTTGCCCCTCTGGATTATATTAGAGTGATGCAAAAGTAATTGCCATTAATTTACCATTAGTTAATTAAAAGTAATGGGAAAAAAACACAATTAGTTTTACACTATTCTGCTATCATTTTATCATCATAGGTACTTCGTGAGACAGATACTATTATTTTACAGGTTTTACATTTTACAGGCTAGAAAACTAGTTTCCAGAGAAGTTAAATAGCTTTTATAATTGTCAGAGCTAAGATTTGAGCCCAGGCACATTGTTAGGAAACTAATTAGAATAACCATCATATAACAGTCTGTTGTTCTTATGATTTTATTTTTTATTGCATTTTAGGTTTTAGGGTACATGTGCAGAACATGCAAGATAGTTGCATAGGTACACACATGGCAGTGTGTTTTGCTGCCTTCCTCCCCTTCACCCACATTTGGCATTTCTCCTCAGGCTTGATTTTAGTAGACAAGTTAAATGTTTTTCTTTGTAACACTGACCCCATTTACCAAGGAAAAAAATTACTCCAGTGTAACAAAACTGTGTGACATTTTACAGGAAATGAGAAAGACATGCAGGCATCTTCTGGTTTTATTATTCCCTCATAAGTGAGAGAAGCAAATGTGTAGTTAAAAAAGATGCATCATAGGAATCAAAAGTCATCATAACAAAATATATTTATGAATATATTGGCCACTTGCAAATTTAGTCTGTATTCAAACATCCTCAAACTTTTTTTTGCCCAAGGTATTTTAGTTTCTACTGGTATATGACACTGGGGATATAATACAAATATGATACGAATCAGTGGCAAATCTTGCAAAAGATGCAAGACTTTGTTAAGTTCATGAAAACAGTGTTGAGGAACCGCTCAGATAATAAGTAAAGATATTATGAAGATCATGCAAAATTAGATCAGTTGACAGACAAGAGAAAGAATGGTTTGAATATCAAAGGAGTCAGAGATGCCTTGGGAAAATCTTCAAATATTCTCTAAAAACATCTTTTTCATGATCAAAGATGAAGTAATGAGTAGTATGCATATCATCATATAATACTGTTTATGGGAAAATTATGGCAAAAAGTAATAATTTATAAGCTAATTATAAATGAAATTTTTATAAAACTTTTTATAACTTTCATATTTTAGATAAAATACTAATCAAACTTTTTTCCTATTTATTGTGAATCTTTTAGTTGATATAAAATTACCTTAAGTGATCTTTTCGCTTTTTTTTTTTTTTTTTTTTTTTGAGACGGAGTTTCGCTCTTGTTACCCAGGTTGGAGTGCAATAGCGCGATCTCAGCTCACCGCAACCTCTGCTTCCTGGATTCAGGCAATTCTCCTGCCTCAGCCTCCCGAGTAGCTGGGATTACAGGCACGCGCCACCATGCCCAGCTAATTTTTTGTATTTTTAGTAAAGACGGGGTTTCACCATGTTGACCAGGATGGTCTCGACCTCTTAACCTCGTGATCCACCCGCCTCGGCCTCCAAAGTGCTGGGATTACAGGCTTGAGTCACCGCGCTCCGCCCAATCTTTTTCTCTTTACCACTTATTCTTGGACAATGACTTCTTATTTAATATGTTGTAACACTTTCAGCAAACATCAAAAAGTCTTGTGAAATAATGCAAGAAACTAACATTTGTCCAAACATATAAAATAATGAATTCTGTGGGAAATTAGAGTCACTAAAGAAAGGCTTCATAGAAGAGATATTGCTTAAGATGGGCCTTGAAAGATGAATAGGATCTCTATAGAGAAGAATAGCGGAGCATTTTTAAAGGTACAGTGAAGACCATGGTGTTAACCAGGAAGTGACCACTGAATGTTAAGTGAGGTGGTGAAGAGACTAGTCTATTTAGAGAGAATAGAGTAACGGAAGATAAAGTTCGAAAGCAAAGGCGGAGCCTAATTTAAAGAGAACACTGACTCATTTATGGACTTAGTAACTGATTTAACATTCCTTTAAATACAGTTTCCTTATATATAGATAGATAGATGCTCTGTTGCCAGACTAGAGTGCAGTGGTAAGATCTTGGTTCACTGGAATCTCTATCTCCTGGGTTCAAGCGATTCTCCTCCCTCAGCCTCCCGAGTAACTGGGATTACAGGCACGTGTTGCCACGCCCAGCTAATTTCAGTATTTTTAGTAGAGACAGGGTTTCACCATGTTGTCCAGGATGGTCTCAAACTCCTGACCTCATGATCTGCCCACCTCAGCCTCCCAAAGTGCTGGAATTACAGGTGTGAGCCACTGCGTCTTGCCTATTAGATATATTTTTAAAAATTAGAAATGAATTTGCTGGTTGTAACAAAAGAAATAATGCAAGATAAAACGAAAGTTAAGACATTCACATTGCACTGTTTAGTGAAAAAAACCACATTGCTAAGTGATATGTAAATGATATAATTCTGTTTTTTTGTCAAGTACTTAACACATGCATTTTAGCTTAAGCTAGTAAAAATATCTGCAGGAGAATACATCAAACTACTACTGATATTACAAGGGGCCTTGACTTTCTCAGTTATGTGGTTCTGTGTATCTGATACAGGCATACCTCAGCAACAGCAAATATCACAATAAAGTCAGTCACACGAATTTTTTGATTTCCCAGTGCATATTAAAGTTATGTTTATACTTGGAAGGCCAAAGCAGGCAAATCACAGGTCAGGAGTTCGAGATCAGTCTGGTTCAACATGGTGAAACCCCGTCTCTACTAAAATACAAAAATCAACTGGGCCTGGTGGTGGGCATCTGTAATCCCAGCTGCTCAGGAGACTGAGGCAGGAGAATAGCTTGAACCCAGGAAGCAAAGGTTGCAGTGAGCCAAGATTACGCCATTGCACTCCAGCCTGGGTGACAAGAGAGAGACTCTGTCTCAAAAAAAAAGTTATGTTTATACTATATTATAGCCCATTAAGTACAATAGCAATATGTCTTTAAAAAGATATACCTTAATTTAAAAATTACCATGGATATGCCTTAATTAAAAAATACTTTATCGCTAAAAAATGATAAGAATTACCTGAGTCTTTAGTGAGTCATCATCTTTTTGCTGGTAGAGTGTCTTGCCTTGATGTTGACGGCTGCTGACTGATCAAAGTGGTGGCTGTGGCAATTTCTTAAGGCAACAATGAAGTTTGCTACATCGATTGAGTCTTTGATTCACCAAAGATTTCTGTAGAATGCAATGCTGTTTGATAGCATTTTACTCACAGAACTTCTTTGAAAATTAGACTCGATCCTCTAAAACTCTGCTGTTGTTTTATCAACTAAATTTATGGAATATTCTGAATACTTTGTTGTCATTTTAACAATGTTTACAGTATCTTCACCAGGAGTAGATTCCGTTTTAAGAAACCCCTTGCTTTGCTCATCCATAAGAAGCAACTCCTCATCTGTTCAAGTTTTATCATGAGATTGCAGTAATTCAACCACACCTTCAGCATCCATTTTTAATTTAAATTCTCTTGCTATTTCTATCACATCTATAGTTATGTACTTCCTCCACTGCAGTCTTGAATTCTTGAAACTCATCCATGCAGGTTGGAATCAACTTCTTTCAAACTTCTGTTCATGTTGATATTTTGGCCTCCTCTGATGATCACAAATATACTTAATGGCATCCAGAATTGTTCTCCTTTCTCAAAGGACTTTGCCTAGATCTATCAGAGGAATCACCATCTGTGGCAGCTATATCCTTACAAAATATATTTATTTCCATAAGACCTTAAAGTTGAAATGACTCCTTGATCCATAGGCTGCAGAATAGATATTGCATTAGCAGGTGTAAAAATATTAATCTCCTTGTACATCTCCCTCAGAGCTCTTGGGTGGCCAGGTACATTGTCACTGAGCTGTAATATTTTGAAAGTATTCCTTTTTTTTTTTCTTTCTGAGCAGTAGGTCTCAAAATGGGCTTAAAATATTCAGTAAACCATGTTGTAAATACATGTGCCATCATCCAGGTTTTGTTCCATTTATAGAGCATAGATTGGGTAGAGTTAGTATTCTTCAGGGCCCTGGGATTTTCAGTATGGTAAATAAGCATTAGCTTCAACTTAAAATCAGCAACGGCATTAGCTTCTAGCAAGAGTCAGCTTGTCCTTTGAAGCTCTGAAGCCAGGCGTTGACTTCTCTCAAGCTATGAAAGTCCTTGTTGGCATCTTCTTCTAACAGAAGGCTGTTTTTTCAGAACATATACAACATTTATCAGTTAATTTGCTGTCTTATATGGTGCAGGTTATGCCACCCACAAACAATTACAATGGTAACTAACATCAAAGACCACTGATCACAGATCATCATAACAGATAGAATAATAATGGAAAAGTTTCAAATGTTGGGACAGTTACCAAAATGTGACACAGGAAGTGAGCACATGCTTTTGGAAAAATGGCACAGATAGATATGCTTAACACAGGATTGCACAAAAACTTCAATTTATAAAACAAAAATATCTGCGGAGCACAATAGAATAAAGCACAGTAAAGTAAAGGTGTGCCTGTTTTTTTATAAGGAGCATGTATTACTTTTAAAGAAAAATCATATAAATTTCAAAGTATAGAGATTTTAATATATTCTGAATATTGATGGATACATAGTAAATGTTAAAAGATTTTCTAATCCTTCTTCCACAGAATGTAGTTAGAAAGAAGTTTTGTAGAGATGCTTTATTGCTTCGAATCCCTTCATGTTTATATCAAGATGAAAGTTACCATATAGCAGTTACCGATAATAAATTTAGGAGGCCATGGACAAGAGGTATGTTTGTTTTCATTTCTTAAAAATGTGTTTAAAAAGCCATTTCAGAGTTCAGCACAGTAAATTATTAATATGCAATGCTTTACTAATTAAAAACTCATTGTATCTGTTCATGTCAGGATTCCAAGAAGTTAACAACAGTATTTTTATTATAGAATTTAGATAACTAAATAAGGAATTGGAAAGCTTATATTTGATATGAATAAACCAAATAAAAGATATGTAGATGATGAAGACTTAAAATAGTCTAACATTGTAAACATTTGTTGATTATAATAGAGTTTTTCTTGACTATCTGAGGCCTACTTTAAGTTGTAATGGCACATTGAATATAAAATTATTTTTAAGTATATATGTATAAAATAGTTTTTTGTTTATATCAAGTCATGGACAAGAAAAGTAGCCTCCTTGAGAAGTCAAGTCAGTTAACAGCATTTATTTGATATATATCACATACCAAACACTGTTATAAGTACTAAGGACACAGTTACTTAAAAGACATAGAAGTAATCTCTGCCCTCAGTGGGTTTTAGACTGGTAAGGAGGATATAACAGTAAAACCATTAAATATATAAACCAGTATCTGATATTGCTAAATATATAGAGAAGAGACAGTAATGCTAAGTGTTATGAAATTTCAGGAATAGGGAGTGCTGCTTCCTAAGATGGTTAGGGAAATGTCTCTCTGAAGAGGAGGACATTTGAGTTGAGACCTGAATGACAAGAAGGCGACAACCATGAAAAATATGGGGAAAAGCCTTTCAAGCAAATGCAAAGTTCCTGACTCAAGAATGAACTTGATGTGTGTAAGGATCAGAAAATTAAGCTATTGGGACTGGGTAAAGAAAAAGGGACTGAGAAGTAGGCAATGTATGAATAAGGATTTGTAGGTCATAACAGAATTTATTTATTTATTTATTTTTATTATGGCTACAATAAACTGAATGTTTGTTTCCCTCAAAATTTATATTTGTAGGTGGGGCCTTTGGGAGGTAATTAGGTCATGAGGATGGAGTCCTCAAGAAAGGGATTACTACCCTTATAAAAGAGACCCCAAGAAGCTCCCTTAACCTTTCTGCCATGTGAGTCTAGCAAGAAGACAGCCACCTATGAACTAGGAAGTGGGCCCTCACTGAATCTTCTGGTGCCTTGATCTTGGACTTCGCAGCCTCCAAAGCTATGAGAAATGAATGTTTGTTGTTTGAGCCACCCAGTCTATGGTATTTTTATTATAGCAGCCTAGACTGATTAACACAATTGTGGACATGGGAAGTCACTGGACAATTTTAAGAAAGAGAATGATATAACTTGATTTATGCTGTAGAAAGATAGTTATAATTGTCTAGAGGATAGAAAGTGGTGGGTGGGGATTAGGAGTCAAGAGTAGAGACAGGGAAATCTATCAGGGAACTATTGTGGTAGCCCAGAATCTCAGCTCTGGATAAAAGATTATAGTGACTGGGACAAGGCTTATAGTAATGGAGATGTGAGATGTGCTTAAAATCGAGCTTATTTTAGAAATTGTCAACAGTGAGGGGTTACAAAATAGAAGAATAAAGAAATTCTTCTAGGTTTTTGACTAGAGAAACTGAGTAGATGACAGTACCATTTCCTAAAATAGGGAAAGGCTTATAGAGAAACCAACTGTGGTCAGAATCAATAGCTCTGCTTTGGCCAGATTATTAGGCATCTAAATGGAATCATTAAGAAGGCAATTGGTTATATTAATTTTGAGCACAGCTGCTCAGGACAGTTCTCTGGGTAGACTTGGCCTCCTTTTCTCACTTGAAGTTCTTAAGAATAACTATAAAATGTGCTAGGAATGCAACATTCTGAGATAGAGATAGAACTGGCCAGAACAGCCTAGGTTCTTGCCAGTCTTCCCCTACCACTGAAACAGGATGTCCTTCAATGCTTTAGCTCAGCATGTCCTTTGACCTCAGAATATCAAACCCAGGTGGACTGCTTTCTGGGGTTCTTCAGCTGCTTTGCAAGTGTGACACATGAAGACTCCATCTGCCCCAGGCAGCTTTCCTAAGCCTTAGGGAACCAGTTCACAATGAATCCTAGGCTTCTATTGTCCCTTGTTATCTATCTGTAAGTAATAAATCCACTTCATGTAACTTCCTGTGTATGAGTGTTCTGTCTCACCCATACTCAGACAAGTTGGTAATCAGTACACAGCTAACCTGGTTCACAAGCTGGAGTTTCAAATTGGAGTTTTCAATATGTAAATTACACATAAAGATGTGAAACCAGATGAAGTCACTGAGAGCATGAGTATAAATAGATTAGAAGGCATAGGACAGAGCCTTGGACTACTCCAATAAAAGTCTGATGTAAAAGGAGTTACCTAAGAAGCAAGATAGGAAAATCAAATGATTCTGGTGTTGTAGAATTCTAAAGAAGAAAGTACTTCAAGAAGGAATTAGTAGTCCAATGCATTGGGGTCCTGTTAAAAGGTCAAGTTATCTGAGGATAATGAGTTAACCATTAGCTTGACTAAATGTAGGTCACTGATAACTTTGATAAGAGTGGTTTCCCTGGAATATTGGTTATTAATATGATTGGAATATAATTGGAGTGTGATAGGAATATATTGGAATATGGTTGGAGTATGTTGAGAACATAATGGGAAGTGGAAAAATGCGAGTGAATTTGACTATTTTGGAAAATTTTGCCAGGAAGGAAAATTTTTAAATGAGGCACTAACTTATGGGAGAAGTAAAGAGTTATTCTTTTCTGTTTTTGTTTTTGATGTGTGATTTTTTTAAAAATACGTGATGAGAGAGACTGTAAAATGTTTGCCAATGGAAATAAAAAATTATTTTGGTAAAATAATTTTCTGGATGGTAGAAAGTTGGGGGTGGGGATTAGGAGTCAAGGATGATACAGGAAAGAAAAAGGATAACAGGAATAAAAGGGGATAGGATCAAAAGCACAGTTAGAGAAGTTAGTATTCAGCAGGAAATAAAATAATTCTTCCCCTGTATGGATACAAAGATAGGGTTTGCAGGTACTTATGCCAGCAGGTTGTAGAATGGGTGGTGGAAAATGAGGTAGTTCTCTGTATTAGTTTCCTATGTGAAGGTAAGGTCATGCACTGAAAGTGGATAATGGAACGAACACTGAATATTTAAGGGGGTAATGTGTGAATTAGCTGTCTAAAGAGCAGGAAAGCCAGTTTCGTTTTTGTTTATTTTTTATTTTATTTATTTATTTATTTATTACATTTTAGGTTTTGGGGTACATGTGAAGAGCATGCAAGATTGTTGCATAGGTACACACATGGCAGTGTGATTTGCTGCCTTCCTCCCCATCACCTATATCTGGCATTTCTCCCCATGCTATCTCTCCCCAACTCCCCTCCCCCCGCTGTCCCTCCCCTAATTCCCCCCAACGGACCCCAGTGTGTGATGCTACCCTCCCTGTGTCTCTGTGGTCAAGAAAGCCAGTTTTATTAGGGGGTATACTATTATCATCTGTCAATGTTGGGTGGCCATTTGAAATTTATAGTTGTTATTTGGAATGAGTTCCTTTAGCATGGCTGGGTGATTTTTTTTCCAGTAATTGTCAACTGTTTTAGTGTACATACACAGAAAGTGTAGAGTAGGGGTTGTCCTAAGTTGGTATAAGAGAAAGAGAGGCAAGGGAATCAGGAGTCTTTGAAAGCAATGGCTATGGGACTAGCTATGGAACCTAAACTGTTCTAAGCAATTCGCATGCCACTTCACATTTAATCTTTACCACAACACTCTGAAAGGCTATTCTTCCTAGTTTATACATTTAAAAAACTGAGGCGCAAAAAGGTTAAGCTATTTACCCAAGATTACATAGTGAATAAGTAGCAGTACAAGGATTAAAATCCGGGCAGAGTGATTCCGAACCTGTACTCTTAACTACTAAACTTTGGTATTTTTTTTTTTCATATTTTTCAATGAGGCACAGGCTTAGATGTTAAATGATTTGTTCAAGGTAACAAAACTAGTAAGAAGTTACACTAGTGGAAGGTAGAATACTCAGTTGCATATTCTGACAGTAGTATATGACATGGTCTTTCTCTGTAAGGAACCAAGGGTCTAATTTGGAAGACAAGCTATATATACATACAATTTGATTGATTGATTGAATGATTGAGACAGAATCTCACTCTGTCATGCAAGTGCCCAGGCTGGAGTGCAATGGCGTGGTCTCTGCTCACTGCAGCCTCTGTTTCTCATGTTCAAGTTATTCTCCTGCTTCAGCCTTCCAAGTAGCTGGGACTAGAGGAACGCACTACCATGCCTGGCTAATTTTTGTATTTTTAATAGAGATGGAGTTTTGCTGTGTTGGCTAGGCTGGTCTTGAACTCCTGGCCTCAAGTGATCTACCCGCCTCAGCCTCCCAAAGAGCTGGGATTACAGGTGTGAGCCACTGCGCACCACCTACAATTTTAAATATAGGACTGTATATGGTTGAGTATTCAAGTGCTACTAACAGTATTATGGCCCTTCAAGGAGAATGTATCAGATTGACCTGGAATGGTTAATAGAAGCTTCATGAGGTATAGCATGAGCAGTTGAAAAGGACTATCTGTGATGGTAATGCTGTATGAACAAAAGAGAGGCTATAAAATGGGGGCAATATGTTCAAGTGATGTTCTTCTAACTATAGTTGATGAGGGGCAGGGGTATCTTGATGATAATGAGGATGACTAAATATTTGGAATCAGCTATTACTTTGGATGAAACTACATTTGTGAACAAATAAAGATAATATCATAATGTAAAAGATAAATGTTTGGCTTCCTTGAATTAAGTGTAAAGGAAAATTCTAGAAGGTAATGTTTACCATTATCCTTTCTAGTCTCAGCTGTTTCAGTTCTGGGAATGACAGATACCTCAGTCTTGGACCAATGGAAAGCAAGTCTCTTTGTGGACGACTTCCTTGAGAAGTATGTATCCTTAATCTCAAATTTCTCTTTTACATCTAAAAGAAGATAAACAGTAAGTTCTCCAGAAACCTAAAGATGGAAATATCTTCCTTTATTTCTTCACGGATTTTCTTCTTTTATCTGAAGAAAAGGTCCTAATTTGAACCACAAAGGAGTAGTTAATAGGAGTGACTTCTATCCTCTTTTTTAATTAGTAAACTTTCTGTAGAAAGTATCTGTAGGAAGTTCTTCATATTAAACTCTTTTTCCCTTTAATAAAAATGCAGATTTAAGGCTATTTTTGGTAATATATTTGGTCAAAACATTATTTATTATTAGTTTAAGCATTCATCAAATATTTATTATCATGCTATGTATTAGATACAAGATATAAAAATGAATAAGACATAGTCTTAATCTTCAAAGAACACATGAAAACAAGGAATACAGTTTTATAAAGAAATAATTACAATGCAATGCACAAAGTACAATGACAGATATAGGCACTCAGAACATAATATGAGGAAGAACATCTAACCTGTTCTACATTGTAAATATAGACATAAAGTAGATATTTTAGTGCAAATTTAATAATTTACTCTGTTGCTTCACTTCATGCACAGAATGCTGATCAGACCCAGGAAAGATTCCATTATTATTTACATTTTTGAGTTTCTGTAATTTAAATTTTCCTTAGTTGTGCTTCAAAGAAACAAAAAAACCATTGAAAGGTGTCTACACTGGATACAGTGAATCCCAATATGCAATCTTTGTCATCTAGGAATTTAAAGTCAGGTTAGGAAGATAATAGATAAGTACAGAAAAAATTAACAATGTAAGAATTAAATGATAATATAGGATGACCAACATAAAGTCTATAACAAGGCATATGGCCAATTAGAAGTATGTATTACATGAGTAAACTCCTAAGCAGCAAGGAAACAGAACAGTATAGTGAAAAAAGCTCTGCACTATGAATTAAAATATGTAGATTTTAAACCTTGACTGCAAAAGTCAAGCGCTAACTCCTTTGCTGGTCATTTTACCTATGATCCTTATTTTATCAGTATGATGATGATGGATCAGTGCTTCTCAAACTTTAGTGTACATATGAATCCCCTGAGGATCTTATTAAAATGCAGATTATTATTCAGATTCTGTTTTGGAGCCCTTCTAATCTATTTCTAGGTGGTACTGATGCTACCAGTTAAAGACCTACCTTGAGTAACAAGATGCAAGATGATCTCTAAGATCTCTTTTCACCTTATAAGTTAGATTGGTAGAGCTGTGCATTTGTAAGTAGGAGAGGTCAGCTTCACATAAGTAGGAATTGAGCTTAAATAGCTGGGCAATGAAAGAGAAATTAACTCAAGAGAAAGGATTTTGAGCAGAGGAAACAACATGTTTCCAGGCATAGATGCTGAAATATGCAATCACTATTCAGCAAAGGCAATAATTGGGCTAGTTTGGTAAAAACTAAATTATTATTTCATAAGGTGAAAAGAGATCTTAGAGATCATCTCGCATCTTGTTACTCAAAGTAGGTCTTTGGACTGGCAGCATCAATAACACCTAGAAATATATTAGAAATGCACAATCTCAGGCTCCAAAATGGACTAACTGAATCAGAATCTACTTTCTGTCTATTGATTTGCCTATTCTGGATATTTCACATAACTGGAATCATACAATATGTGCTTTTATTGTGATTGATTTCTTTTACTTAATATAATGTTTTCAGGGTTTGTCCATGTTGTCACATGTATTAGTGCTTTCTCTCTCTCTCTCTCTCTCTTTTGGAGGCAGTCTCTTTCTCTCTCTCTCTCTCTCTCTTTTTTTTTGAGACAGAGTCTTACTCTGTCACCTAGGCTGGAGTGCAGTGGTACAATCTCAGCTCACTGCAACCTCTGCTTCCTGGGTTCAAGTGATTCTTGTACATTAGCCTCCTGAGTAGCTGGAATTATAGGCATGCACCACCACATCTGGCTAATTTTTGTATTTTTAGTAGAGATGGGGTTTCACCATGTTGGCCAGGCTGGTCTCAAACTCCTAGCCTCAAGCGATCCACCCACCTCAGCTTTCCAAAGTGCTGGAATTAGAGGTGTGAGCCACCGCTCCCCACCAGTACTTTATCTCTCTCTCTCTCTCTCTCTCTCTCTCTCTCTCTCTCTCTCTCTCTCTCTCTCTCTCTCTCTCCCTCTTTTTGAAACAGAGTCTCTCTCTGTCACCTAGGCTGGAATACCGTGGCACGATCTCAGTTCACTGCAAACTCTGCTTCCCAGGTTCAAGTGATTCTCCTGCCTCAGCCTCACGAGTAGCTGAGATTACAGGCATCTGCCACCATGCCCAGCTATTTTTTATTTTTTTATTTTTAGTAGAGATGGGGTTTCACCATATTGATCAGGATGGTCTCAAACTCCTGACCTCAGGTGATCCACCTCCCTCAGCCTCCCAAAATGCTGGGATTACAGGCATGAGCCACCACACCTGACCTAGTCATAACATTTTTTACCACCTGAAATTATGTTATATACTTATTTTTCTATCTTCCTTTTAGGAGATAAGCTCTATGAAGGAAAGAACTTTGTTTTGTTTACTACCCCATTCTCAGTATCTAGAATGGTGTTAGCACATTACAGACACTTAATAAATAGTTTTGTTAAGTTTACAAATTAATGAATGGGAGTAGATTAACTGACTTAAAAGGAATGATGTAGAAGGAAAGTAAAGATGATCTGGAGTAGAAACCTGGTAAAGACCAGTGTAAAGACACATTATGCAAAGGAGGAGGCACCAGTGAAAAGAGAATAAATATATTGACAGAGAGGTACATGAGGAGAGCCAGGAAACACTGATCTTCATAGATCTTTTGTGTCTACAGAAATAAAATTGACTGGTATTCTCAAAACTGTAGTACCAAGCATTGTTATAGAGTGCTGACCCTGTGAGCAACATTTGTTTTAAAACAACAGCAACTATGTAAACACTGAGTTCAGTATATACGATCCATATAGGATTCAGGGATCTTAATTAGTAATATGGACATTGAAGAGTTAAAATATTTTTTCCACTACTTTGTATTTTCTTAAAGGATAAATTCTAAAGCTTTCTCCATCTATGATTTTAAGATATGTTAAAAACAAATTTTCAGTGCCGCAAAAGAAATAGCACTCAAACATAAATTTACTCAGCAAGGCAAATTTACTTCTATAGAAGGGTGCATCTCAGGGATGGAGGAATGGCAAGAGCACATCAGAGAAGGTAGGGGAAGGGTGTCTTATCCCTGATGCAACTAGTTCCTACTGCTGTGTCTTTCCCCTATTAGCTAGTGTTGGACTGCACAGTCTAAGCTAATTCTGATTGGCTATTTTATAGAGAGCAGGGGTACAATCCAGTGTGGCAGAGTTAGTAGTTTTGGTGGGAAGGATGTGTTACAGAGTAGGTGACTAAGGATGACTAAGGACAGAGCAGGTGACTAAGGACAGAGCCACTAGTGATAGAGACTAGGAAGGGGTTGTTTACTGAAACCAGGGGGAAGAGGACATAAAGAACACGGAATTTGAACCTTAAAATAGAGAGCAAAGAACAGGGAAGCTGAACATACTGACATACTGGTTCTTTGAAGAGGAAAATACATATCCTACAGATATGACATAATTGGTCTTTTCTCCCGTATGGAGACTTATACTGATTTTGGTTCTTTCAGTCTGCACAAAGGAATGATCAGGGCTGTAATGTTCCAGGATATCAGGAAAAAAGTATATTAGGACGTATAACTAAGTTGCCAATAATATATTTATCTATTGGAAGATCTCTTGTAATGCCAACAATTGTAATGGTATAGACAATGGCAGATACACCTGTATCAATCAGGAAACAGGTAAGGGCAAGGTTAAAAGAGCCAAAAAGATGTCCTCAGGACTAGCAACAGTAGGAAGTTAAAACTGCCTTCCCCAAAATTATAACTGAGGAAATTTTGACAGTGAAAGAGATCAGACCTAACTGATTCCATCCTGCTTCTAACCTTTAAACTGCCCTTGTTCATTCCTGGGTGTAGGCTGAACTAATCTTGGGAAGGAATTTAGTGTATGGTTTGACTCTGAAACAAAATTGATTATAGCCTTTTCCTGAGAAGACCCACTTCTTGCCTGGGGACCAGATTGTCTTTGTAGGACTAACAAATTATCTACAAGATTAGAAATTTTGGGTTAGGGGTCATGAAGCCTCTGTCTGTAAGAATCTGAACCTCTCCAAATTGCTCCTGAGAATAACATCTCTATTATAAAATCCAAGATCAGTGCTTGAGATATTTTGCAGACCCTGCACTTAATGGATCAGCTGACACCACCTAGCCAGTAATCTGGCTTAACCAGGTCTGCAATCCCACCCAGGAGCAGAAGACAGCAAGAAAACCTCACTTGCATCCCTTATAATTTCATCTCCAGCCTGACCAGTCAGCACTCCCTACTTTCCAAGCCCTTACCTGCCAAATTATCTTTAAAAACTCTGATCCCCCAATGCTCAGGAAGACTGATTTGAGTAATAATAAAACACTGGTCTCGTGCACAGCTGGCTCTGCATGAATTAATCTGTATCCATCGCAATTCCCCTGTCTTGATAAATCGACTGTCTAGGCAGTGAGCAAAGTGAACCCGCTGGGCAGTTACAAAGCTGTTACTACCCTAAGATTGAAGGAACAAGGTGCCTATGCAGTTACCAAGCTAGTAAGAACTACGGGAGCAGGGCTGTCTGACAAGGGATGTAACTTTTGGTGGAAGAGTGCAGCCAGTTCCAAACTGTGGCCCAACAGAGAAGGATTTGGGAGGAATAATATTCCAACCTGTCTCTCTCTCACCTTCGCTCGTCTGCCAGTGCTTTCCATGGCTGAACCCATCCAGAAGCCAGAGGATAAGGAAGCTTGGTTAGAACATAGAGATTAGCTTCCCAGGTTACAGAAAAGAACATAAAAGCTTGGGTAATTTTATTGAGGAACAGACATTGAATATCCAGCACAAAGGCAGTTTGGCAATGTGTGGCAAAACCTAAAAATCTGTATACCTTTAACTTCATCATTTCTGTTTTTAAGAAATGTATTTTGAGATTATTAGTGAATATAGATGTTCTTTGCATTGTTGCTCACAATACCAAACAATTAAAACAAACTTAAATTTCCAGCAATCAGGAATTGGTTGAATAAATCATGATTTACTGATACCTGTGTATCCATTCAAATATTAGTTGAATGTACATTGATTGACATGTAAATGTGTTCATTCTTCATTGTTTTACAGGAAAGAACAGGTTATAGAATGCTATTGTCATTAATCTACTATTTAAAGATTTTTTTTAAATTGAGAGATTTACATAATTTTTATATTCATCTTGAGTGATGGGATTATATATGTTTCTTCTCTGTATCTGTTGGAATTTGATAATTTCTTTCCACAGTGAAATATAGTATTTACCAATAAAAGTGTTTTAAAATAGGCCATAAACATAACATTAGTAATTTTATACTGTCACAGAAAAACAATTACAAGAATGGTGACCCAGATTAACTGTGAATTTGACGAAGTTGTTCCAAGTTCAAATCCAGACTCCCAAATTGAAGTAGAGGAGGCCAGCTTATATACCCACATGGACTATAATGATGTCTTTACTCCTGTCAGCTGTTTAGAAAAATGTTCAGCACTTCAAAAACAGAACAAAGGTAAACATTTGTTATTTTATATTCATTTCAGTGAGTTTTTTGTTTGATTTGATTGAAAATTTTTTTATTAAAGATCCAACTGCATAATTATAACTCTAAACTTTGCCACATTAGGGCAGTATTTCCTCATTCATATTAATCCTCTTTGTAAGTTGGGTTATTTTTGGAGTTTAAGTTTGCTGGGCCTCAAAATAACCTGCAGAAATTTGATCTTAGTATGCTTTCAACATACTGCTGTAATGATATTGGTATCTTTTACAAATCCCATGATATAGCAATCCAGTGTAACATTAAATTAATATATTATAAGGTGATGATTACATTTTAGTTCTTAAAACATAATATATATTTTCAATCTCATCTAATTTATGTGAAATCAAGGTTCAAAGTGGAGATGGAATAGTTGCAGTATTAAGTTACAAAATTTACTCAGTTTTACAAACTTACTGTCAAAAATAAAAGTAAGCCGGGCATTGTGCTTACCACACCTGTCATCTCAGCAATTCAGGAGGCCAAAGCAGGTGGATCACCTGAACACAGGAGTTCAAGACCTGTATTATATATCATATAATATTAATATATTAGTATTAGTATATATCATATATTATGAAACTATACATATATTCTATATGTATAGATATATAATATATGATACTAAATATATAATACATAATATATATAATACTAATATATGATATAATTAGTATATATATTAGTAATATATACTTATAAGTATTAGTAATATATACTTATATAAACATATTAATTTGTAAAAACTGATGGGCTACACAAACATAGCTATTTATAAATGTGGCAAACTAGAAGCTACTATTGGCTAGAATCAAATATTAACTGAGAAAATATGCTTGAATTTCCAAAATGCGTCTGAATTCTTCATATCCTGTATTTCCTTAGGTGTCCTGTGTCACTGGACATCACTTTATAAATTTAGATTTTCAATTTCATTTATTTTCTTTGCAGTTATATTGATTGCTGCCAGATTTGTAGATACTTCGGTCTTATTGTCTAAATCAAAAGAAACATATTATATTTTGGAATTTGTAAATATACTATATCTTATAAGAATTATAAATAATTACTAAATTATAATTTCAAAACATATACATCTTTAAAACATAAAACAGTGGCTGATTTTCTTTTATGGTTGTTGGTTTATTGATATTTGCTAAATTTTCTATAATGTTCACATATTATTTGTTAATACATGAAACTCTTAAGCATCCCTCTAGATATCCTGGGAACATATAAGCAAATATAAATGTAGCTTTTATTTTTCTTTTTAAAAATATAGTTAGCCCAGACACAGTAGCTCATGCCCGTAATCCCAGAACTTTGGGAGGCTGAGGCAGGTGGATCACCTGAGGTCTGGAGTTTGAAACCAGCCTGGCCAACATGGTGAAACCCTGTTTCTACAAAAAGTACAAAATTAGTTGGGCATGGTGGTGGGCACCTATAATCCCAGCTACGTGGGAGGCTGAGGTGAGAGTATTGCTTGAACCTGGAAGGTGGAGGTTGCAGTGAGCCAAGATCGCGCCATTACATTCCAGCCTGGGCAACAAGAGCAAAACTCCATCTCAAAAAATAATAAGAATAAATAAAAAATAAAACAAATGAAGTTGCATGTGCATATAGTTTTGTGAGTCAAATAGTTTCTTAGGTTTAAAATAAAAAGCAGTAATCTGACTTGTGGTTTTAAATGGTGGCACAGAAGCAAGCTGGCTTCACTACTCACACAGGAAACCAAAAGCAAATATACAGTGCCAAGATTTTCAGTAGCAATAACCCACATCTCAAATATGAGGACGAGACAGATCCTAAGAACGCAGATGTGAAAAAACTTTAAGAAGAGAATCCAGTTTCCACATCCACCCTGCCCATTCTGCCTGACAAGAACCACATGGAAAATCTTTTCCTAATTCATGGTTTCTCTGCTGGAAAAAGTGAGATTAGAATAGTTAGCTAGCTTTCCCACCATCTTGGATTCCCTGACAGGAGACTGTTCTTTCTTTAACCTATGGAAAGCATGGTGACTGCCTGAAAGGAGAGACAAAGAGGGGAGAAGGGACTACTAACCCCAGCCCTGGAAACTGCTCTGTAACTCAGGCAAAGAAGCCTCAGGCACAGGTCCCTTGGGCATGAACCTCTAGCCAGACTTCTCTTGCTGTTGGGATAGTCTTTTTCAGACTCTCCCATTTGGAGCAGACAGTGCCCTGATCATTTGTTAGAGCCAAGGCAAACCTGGGCTTAAGATACCACTCATGGCCAAGAAAGAGGCAACAACTTAGTAGTAAAGATTTGCTAAGCAAATATATCCAATAAAAAAACAAAACAAGTTGAACAGAGAAAGCTGGAATAAATAATCAGTCTTTCAATGCAAAGACAGAGACGTATACCCACAAGAAACAATGCCGAACAGGGAAATGTGACCTCTGCAAAAGGATAAAGCAAAAACCCAGTGACTGACCCTAACAAGAGAGTCATTTGTGAACTCTCTGGCCAAGAATTCAAAAGAGCAGTTTTAAGGAAATTCAGTGATCTCTAAAATAATGTAGAAAAGCAATTCTGAAATTTGTTGGAAAATTTTAACGAAGAGAATTTGTTAAATGTTTAAAGTTAACTTAAAACAATTTTTAATCAAACAACTTTTGAAACTGAGAAATACATCTGCTGAGCTGAACAACTCATTAGAGGCTCTCAACATCAGAATGGAACAGCCAGAGGAAGAATCAGTGAGCTCCAAGACTAGCTATTTGAAAATACAGTCAGAGGAGAAAAAAGAAAAAAGAAAGAAAACTAACAAAGACTGGCTATAAGATATAGAAAATTACCTCAAAAGAACAAATATAAGAATTCCTGATGTTTAAAAGGGAGCTGAGAAAGAGCAGGGGGTAGAAAGAAATAATACAAAAATTTCCAAAGCTTGAGAAAGATATAAATCTCCAGTATAGGAAGGTCTGAAAATACCAAAGAGATTCAACCCAAATAAGACTACCCGAAGGTATGTAATAACCAAACTCTCAAAGGTCAAGTACAAAGAGGATCTCAAAAGCAACAAGAGAAAAGAAGCAAATAACATATAAAGAACCTCCAATTCTTCTGGTAACAGACTTCCCAGACAGGAGGGAGTGGAACAACATACTCAAAGTGCTCAAAGGGAAAAAAAAGCCATCCAGCAAAATTGTATCCAGCAAAAGTACCCTTTGAATATGAAGGAGAAATAGTCTTTCCCAAACAAACAAAATTTCAGAGAATTCACCCCTACCAGACCCATCTTACAGTAAATGCTAAAGGGAGTTCTTCAATCTGAGAGGAAAAAAACAAAAACAAAAACAAAAAACCATTAACATACAAAAAGAAAACTTTTCAAGGCATGAAACCCACTGGTAAAATTAAGTACATGAACACTTAGTTTTAAGAATTTTTTACCAAGCTGGTGGCTCAGACCTGTAATCCCAGCACTTTGGGAGGTTGAGGTGGGCAGATTATGAGATCAGGAGATGGACACCATCCTGGCCAACATGGTGAAACCCCATCTCTACTAAAATATAAAAATTAGCCAGGTGTGGTGGTGCATACCTGTAGTCCCAGCTACTCGGTAGGCTGAGGCAGGAGAATCGATTGAACACTAGAGGTGAAGGTTGCAGTGAACCAAGATCTTGCCACTGCACTCCAGTCTGGCCACAGAGTGAGACTCCATCTCAAAAAAAAAAAAAAAAATTATAGAATACTCAGAATATTCTGTTACAATAATTGTGGTGTATAAGCACTCATAACTCTAGTATGAAGCTCAATCAAAAACAATAGTTATAGCAACATATTGAGATAGATAATATAAAAATATGTAAATTGAGACAACTAAGTCAAAATGTGGAATTTTGTGTGTATGTGTTTGCCTTTGTTTCTGTTCCTCTCTTTATAATCTAAAATATTATCTCTTTAAAATAACTTTTTATATCTATATGATATTTTTTGTAAACCTCCTGGTAACCACAGCCCAGAAACCTATAATAGATTTACTAAAAATAAAAAACAAAAAATTAAAACATATTAACAGAGAAAATAACCACAAAGGAAGACAGTAGGAAAGGAAGAAAGGAGTCTTAAAACAATCAGAAAATAGACCAAAAAAAAAATGGCAGTAGTAAGTCTTTACTTAATAATAATACTGAATGTAAATCGTCTCAATTTTCCAAATAAAAGGCATAGAGTGACTGAATGAATTAAAAAAAGACCAAACTATATGGTGCCTTCAAGAAACTCTTCACTTATAAAGACACACATAGACCAAAAGTGAAGTGGTGGAAAATGATATTTCATGCAACTGGGAACCAAAAATAGCAGGAGTGCTATGCTTACGTAAAATAGACTACAAATCTAAGATTGTAAAAAGAAACAAAGAGGATCATGAAAGGGGTCAATTAAGCAAGAGGATATAACAATTATAAAAATCTATGCACACAACACCAGAACCACCAAGTATATAAAGCAAACATTAATAGATCTAAAAGGATAGACTGCAATATAATAGTAGTCGACTTTAACACCCCACTCTCAGTAATGGACAGATTATCCAGACAGAAAATGAACAAAGAGCATAAACTACACACTAGAATAGGCGTAATTAACATTTACAGAACATTTTCATCCATATGACAGCTAACTTCATTCTGTGTATTCCGTGCTGCAGAATACTGATTCTTTTCATTGCACATGGAATATTCTCCAGATTAGACCATATCTTAGGCCACAAAATATACCCAAACAAATTTTAAAAATAGAAATCATATTGAGTAGCTTTTCTGACCACAGAGAAATAAAACTAGGAATTAGTAACAAGAGAAACTTTGGAAAATACACAAACACATGGAAATCATACAGCATGCTCTTAAATAGTCAATGAAAAAATTAAGAAGGAACTTTTAAATTTTCTTGAAATAAATGAAAATGGAAATAAAACATACTAAAATATATGGGATATAGCAAGAGCAATACTAGAGGGAAGTTTATCAATAAATTCCTATATCAAAAATAGAAAGACTTCAAATAAAATAACTAAAGATGTACTCCAAGGCACTAGAAAAGAAAGAATAAACTAACTCCCAAATTGGTAGAAGGAAAGAAACAATAAAGATCAGAGCAGAAATACATGATACTGAGACTTAAAAAAAAATACAGAAGATCAACAAAATGAAAAGTTGGTTTCTTGAAAAGATAAAAACTTTAGCTAGACTAAGTAGAAAGAGAGAAAACCCAAATAAATAAAGTCAAAATGGAAAAGAATACATAATAACTGAGAACTCAGAAATACAAAGAATCATTAGAGACTATTATGAACAACTATATGCCAACAAATTGGAAAACTTAGAAGAAGTGGATACATTCCTGGATACATACAACCCATCCAGATTGAATCATGGGCCAGGCATGGTGGCTTATGCCTGTGCCCCAGCACTCTGAGAGGCTGAGGTGGGGTGGGTGGATCACTTGAGGTCAGGAGTTCAAAACCAGCCTGGAAAAAATGGTGAAACCTCATCTCTACAAAAAAATATTAGCCAAGTGTGGTGGCATGTGCCTGTAATCCCAGCTACTTGAGAGACTGAGGTGGGAGGATTGATTGAACCTGGGAGGTTAAGGCTGCAGTTCGCTGTGATCATGCCACTGCACTCCAGCCTGGATGACAGAGTGAGACCCTATCTCAAAAAAAGGAAAAATAAGTTTGAACCCTGAAGAAATAGAAAACCTCAACAAATCAATGATGAGTAATGAGATCAAAGCCATAATTAAAAAGTCTCCCATCAAAGAAAAGGCCAGGACCTGATGACTTCACTGATGAATTCTACCAAACATATAAAAAACTAATAGTAATCCTACTTAAATGCTTCAAAACAGTTGAAAAGGAGGGAGTATTTCCAAACACATTCTACAAGGCCAGCATTACCCTGATACCAAAACCAGACAAGAACACAACAACAACAAAAAGAAAACTACCAATCAATATCAACAATGAACATAATAGATGCAAAAATCCTCAACAAAATATTAGTAAACTGAATTCAACAACACATGAAAAAGATCATTCACCATGATAAAGCGGGATTCATCCTAGGGATGCAAGGATGTTTCAACATATGCAAATCATTAAATGTGACACATCACATTCAAAGAATCAAGAAAGAAAACCATATGATTATTTCAATAGATGCTGAAAAAAGCATTTGATAAAATTCAACATCTCTTTATGATAAAAACCATCATCAAAATAGGTATAGAAGGAACCTACCTCAAAATAATAAAGGTTGTATATGATAGCTAACTTCATACTGAATGGGAAAAAATTGAAGGCCTTTCTTCTAACGACTGAAATAAGACAAGGATGCCCATTTTCACCACTTTTATTCAACATAAAACTGGAAATCCTGGCCAGAGCAAGTAGGTAAGAGGAAGAAATAAAGGGCATTCAAATTGGAGAGGTAAAAATCAAATTAGCCTTGTTTGTAAATGACATAATATTATAGCTAGAAAAATCTAAAAATTTATGCAATTTACTCATGTAACAAACCTACACAGGTACACCTTGAACCTAAAATAATAGTTGGAAAGAAAAACTTAAAAAACCCAAAGACTCCACCAAAAAACTGAGTTGATAAATTAATTCAGTAAAGTTGCAAAATTCAAAATCAACATACGGCTGGGTGTGGTGGCTCACGCCTGTATTCTCAACACGTTGAGAGGCTGAGGCAGGTGGATCACCTGAGGTGAGGGATTCAAGACCAGCCTGACATGGTGAAACCTCATTTCTACTAAAAATACAAAAATTAGCTGGGTGTGGCTGCATGCACCTGTAATCACAGCTACTCAGGAGGCTGAGGCAGGAGAATCACTTGAACCCAGGAGGTGAAGGTTGCAGTGAGTCAAGATCTCACCACTGCACTGGGTGACAGAGCAAGACTCTGTCTCAAAAAAAAAAATCAACATACAAAAATCAGTAGCATTTATATACACCAACAGTGAACAATCTGAAAAACAGGAGATCAATGCCATTTACCATAGCTACAAAAATATAAAATACCTAGGAATCATTCTAATTAAAGAAGTAAAAGATCTATACAAGAAAAACTATAAAACTCTGATGAAAGAAATTGAGGCAGACACACAAAAAAGGCAAGATATAACACTTCATAATCATGAATTGAAAGAATATTGCTAAATTAATACTGCCAAAATAACAATACTATCCAAAGCAATTTACATATTCAATGCAGTCCCTATCAAAATACTAATGACATTCTCCACAGAAATAGTAAAATAAAACCCTAAAATTTGAATGGAACCAAAAAACACACCCAAAAGCGAAAGTAATCCTGAGCAAAAAGAAGAAAGCTAGAAGCGTCACAATACCTGATTTTAAAATATACTCCAAAGCCATACTAACCAAAACAGCATGGTACTGGCATAAAAACAGATATATAGACCAATGGAACAGAATAGAGAACCCCAATATAAATCCACTCATTTACAGCTAACTCTTTTTCAACAAAGGCACCAAGAACATAAAATGAGGGCAAGATAGTCCTCAATAAATGATGCTGGGAAAACTAGATGACTGTATGCAGAAGAATCAAACTATATCCCTATCTCTCACCATGCACAAAAATAAAATAAAAATACATCAAAGACTTAAATCTAAAACTTGAAACTATGAAACTACTAGAAGAAAACATTTGGGAAATGCTCTAGGACATTGGTCTGGGCTAAGATTTCTTATGTATGGTCTCAAAAGCAGTGGCTATCAAAGCAAAAATAGACAAATAGGATAACATCAAGCTAAAAAGCTTCTGCACAACAAAGGAAACAATCATAAAGTGAAGAGACAACCCACAGAATGGGAGAAAATATTTGCAAACTATCCATCTGACAACAGATTAATAACCATAATATACAAGGAACTCAAACAACTCAAAAACAAAAACCAAATTAAAAATGGGCAAAAGATATGAACAGACACTTCGCAAAAGAAGAAATGGTCAACAGATATATGAAAAAACATACTCAACATCACTAATCATCAGAGAAATGCAAATCAAAACCACAATGAGCTGGCCAGGCGTGGTGGCTCATGTCTGTAATCCCAGCACTTTGGGAGGCCAAGCCAGGCAGATCACTTGAGATCAGGAGTTTGAGACTAGGCTGGCCAATGTGGCAAAACCTCATCTCTACTAAAAATACAAAAATTAGTCAGGCATGGTTGCAGACACCTGTAATCCCAGCCACTTGGGAGGCTGAGGCAGGACAATCACTTGAACCCAGGAGGCGGAGGTTGCAGTGAGCCAAGATCACACCATTACACTCTAGCCTGGGTGACAGGAGCAAAACTCCATCTCAAAAAAACACACAGTGAAATATCACCCTAGTTAAAATGCCTTGTATCAAAATGGTAATAACAGATCCCAGCAAGGATGTGGAGAAAGGGGAACTCTTGTACACCATTTGTGGAAATATAAATTAGAACAGCCATTATAGAGAACAGTATGGAGGCTTCTCAGCTAAACTTAAAATAGAACTATCATATGATCCAGCATTTCCACTTCTGGAAAAGAAAGGAAATTATATCAAAAAGACATCTGTATTCCCATGTTTACTGAAGCACTATTAACAATAGCCAAGATACGTAATCAACGTAAATGCCCAGTAGTGGATGAATGGATAAACAAAATGTGGTATCTTATTAATCCACAAAAAAGAATGAAATTCTGTCATTTGCAACAATATGGATGGAACTGTAGGCCCTTATGTTAAGTGAAATAAGCCAAGCACAGAAAGACAAATATTGCATGTTCTCACTCATGTGGGAGCTAAAAAAGTGGATCTCATGAAGTTAGAGAGTAGAATGGTGATTACCAGAGGCCGGGAAGGGTAGCAGAGAAGGGGGATAAGGGGGAAAAAAGAATATAATGTATATATTACCACTGAACTCTACACTTAAAAATAGTAAAGATGGGCCGGATACAGTGGCTTATTCCAGTAATCCTAGCACTTTGGGAGGCCAAGGCAGGTGGATAATGAGGTCAGGAGTTCGAGACCAGCCTGGCCAACATGATGAAACCCTACCTCTACTAAAAATAGAAAAATTAGCCAGGCATGATGGTGCATGCCTGTAATCCCAGCTCCTTGGGAGGCTGAAGCAGGAGAATTGTTTCAACCCAGGAGCCGAGTTTGCAATGAGCAAAGATTGCACCACTGCACTCCAGCCTGGGTGACAGAGCAAGACTGTCTCAAAAAAAAAAAACAAAATAGTAAAGATAGTAAATTTTAATAATCATATTTTACCTCAAAACATCAAAATACAAAAAGAAAGATGGAAAGAACTTGGGTCCCTGAAAATGTTGTCAAATTTTTTTTTGAGTCAGAGTCTTGCTCTGTCACCCAGGCTGGAGTGCAATGGTGATCTCAGCTCACTGCAACCTCTGCCTCCTGGGTCCAAGTGATTCTCATGCCTCAGCCTCCTCAGTAGCTGGAATGACAGGTGCATGCCACCACACCCAGCTAAGTTTTGTATTTTTAGTAGAGACAGGGTTTCACCATGTTGGCCAGGATGGTCTCAAACTCCTGGTTCAAGTGATCTTTCCACCTTGACCTCCCAAAGTGTTGGGATTACAGGTGTGAGTCACTGTGCCTGGCCAAAACCCAGAGTTTTGAATTAATCTTTGGTTTAATTCTTTGTTATATTCAGCCAAAGGTAATATTTATATGCTTTTTAATGTTTTTTTTACTTAGATTTTATAAACACTTTTCTGTGTCATTTTATGTTTTCTACACCATCAATTAAAATGATTGTATAACACTTTTTTAAAAGCAGTAATTTTCTGATTTCATCAACTGCCCCTTATTTTTTTCACTCTCTAGAGGCAACCACTTTCAACTCTTTAAAACAGTTTTAAAAGAAACTATATTTCTTTTGCCATTTATTTATCTGTATGGTATACTTATACTGCTATTTCCTGATGTTTTTAGTTTTAGACCTTATATATTGATCTCTCACTATGAGAATAAAGATGGAGTTGTCCTCACTCTTTTATACCCTTACTACTACTTAACCCCACACATCCTATAGTCTACTCTCCCAATGTAGTTATAACTTTGGTTAGATCAGTATTCTGTATTTACAGAATTGTGAGTGCATAAATACTATTTATTGCTGATAATAGTATTGTGTTGTTCATTGATGTCTTTCTTGTACAATAAATGTATCCCACAGGGGATACATTGCAAGACGCCCACTGAATGCTTGAAATCACCAATAGTACTAAACCCTATACAGTATATATAATGTTTTTTCTTAAACATATATACCAATGATAAATTTCAATTTGTAAATTAAGCACAGTAAGAGATGAATAGCAATAAATAGCTAACAATAAAATTGGAGCATTAAGTAAAACAAGGGTTATTTGAACACAAGCACTGCAATACAAGGACAATCGTTCTGAGAATTGAGACAGCTATTAAGTGACAAATGAATAGGTGGCATATCAGTGTGGAAACAGTGGATCATTTACATTTGGGTGGGACAGAGCAGGATAGCACTAGATTTCATCATGCCACTCAGAACACTGTGCAATTTAAGACATGAATTGTTTATTTCTGGAATTTTCCATTCAATATAATATTTTTGGACTGCAGTTGACTGTGGGGAACTGAAATCTCAGATAAAAGGAGATTACTGTACAAAAGTTAACGCTTGTTTCCTGTTTTTTTTTGTTTTGTTTAGTTTTTATGTATTTAGTACATAGAACTTGATCTTAAAACTCTCCCGTTTGTCTAAATCTCCTCTTAACACATTCAAGCATCAATTTTACCAATAGTTTTATCTTTGGGAATTTTAGTTTTAGAACAAGTCATTATCACCACCATCCCTGATGATTCTGTTCACTTCTTTCTTGTACTGGGCGTCTTGTTTCTTCAATGTTATAGCTGCCAGTTTAGTCAGTTTATTCCCTCCTTTTAGTAGAATGCTTCCACTCAGTTTCCTGAGAATAGGAATGCAGGAAGTAAATTTTTTTAAAACTTCTGTATCCAAAAAGTCTTAATTCTATCCTCACTGATAGTTTGATTAGTTATAGATTCCAGGTTACAAATATTTTTTCTCATAATTTCAAAGACATTGTTCCATTCAATTCTAGCTTCCAGTATTGCTGTTGAGAAGTTCAATGCCATTCTGATTCCTAAAATTTTTTTAATAAGATTTTTTTGGGGAGAGAGAAGATGGCGCTGTAGGACCAACTCAGGATTGCAGCTTCCAGTGAAATCGCAGATGGTGAGTGGACACTGCATTTCCAGACGGATCTTTATTGCCCACAGACCAGGAGATTCCCAGGTGTAGGAGCCCCATGGGCCGCCAGCGTGGCTGTTTGGGCAGGTGCGGCTGTTTGGGCTGGCGCAGCTGTTTGGGCCAGGGCCACAGCGCAGCGGCACTCCGTACAAAATACAATGGTTTGGTTGCCCTGTTAAACCGGCAGTTGGAGATTTCGGAAGGCAGATTAGCACATTCATCTGATTAAATGGGACTTAAACAGAAAGCCAGGCCAGGAGATTCCCGGGCAGCAACATGGTTCCAGCCGGCGCAGTGGGTTGCTGCACAGGAAATCACACACATCCTGGCGCCCTTTCAGCAGGCGACTGGAACACCCGGGAGAGAGTCAACCATTCAACTTAAAAAAAAAAAAAGGGCTTTGAGGCAGGGAGCCAGATGATCAGGCTCGGCAGGTCCCACCCCCACAAAAACAAACAAAACAACAATTGGAAATGCTCGGGGTTGAGAGTTTCATGGCAAGCACAGCTGAACCCAGGATGGTGCAGATCGGAGGAGGAGGGGCATCCGCCATTATGAAGGCACTCAACCCCTATGGAGGTACACTGCCATTGCTGAAACAGCCTGCCATTGCTGATAGCCTGCCATTGCCGACAGCCTGCCATTGCCGAGGCAACCTGCCATTGCCAAGGCAACCTACCATAACAGAGAGTCCGCCACTACAGAGGCGGGCCATCATCATCATGGCAGCTCTAGCCACACCCATATAAACAGGACTACAGGGAATCACACACAGCAGCAGGGAGGAGCCCATGGCAGCAGGATGGAGCCCACAGCAACAGGGCAGAGCCCATGGCAGCTCAGCATAGCCACTACAGGGAAGCAGTGATTAGACTGCCTCCTTGCTGGTCAGGACAGTGCAATGAATACTCATAAATGGAGCCCTAACTCCCCGGGACAGAGCACCTGAGGAAAAAAAAAAGGGGGCTTTATGAGTTCTGCTGCAGCAGACTTAAACGTACCTGCCTAGCAGCACTGAATGAACAACAGAGCTCACAGCTCAGCACTTGAGCTCCATAAAGTACAGACTGTCTCCTCAAGCAGCTCCCTGACCCCCATATATCCAAAGAGTCACCTCACAAAGGACTGATCAGACTGACATTTGGTGGGCATCATTCAGGGACAAAGATAGCAGAAGAAGAAACAGGTAGCAACCCTCACAGTTCTGCAGCTGCTACAGGTGTACCCCAGGCAAGCAGGGCCTGGAGTGGACCTCAGTAGTCCTACAGCAAAGGTGCCAGACTGTTAGAAGGAAAACTAAGAAACAAAAATACTTCATCATCAACAATCTGGACGTCCACTCAGAGGCCCAATCGGAAAATCAGCAACTACTCAGGTGACAGGTGGATAAATCCACAAAGATGGGAAGAAACCAGCACAAAAAGGAGGAAAGCACCTGAAACCAGAACACCTCGCTTCCTACAAGGGACTACAACTCCTCACCAGCAAGGGAACAAAGCTGGACGGAGAATGAGTGTGATGAAATGACAGAATCAGACTTTAGAAGGTGGGTAATGAGAAACTTCCGTGAGCTAAAAGAACATGTTCTAACTCAATGCAAAGAAACTAAGAACGTTGAAAAAAGATTCGAGAAAATGATAACAAGAATGGACAACTTAGAGAGAAATAGGAGTGAATTGAAGGAGCTGAAAAACACAACACGAGAACTTCACGAAGCATGCCCAAGTTTCAACAGCCGAATTGACCAAGCAGAAGAAAGGATATCAGAAGTCGAAGATCAACTCAATGAAATAAAACAAGAAGCCAAGATTAGAGAAAAAAGCGCAAAAAGGAATGAACAAAGTCTCCAAGAAATGTGGGAGTATGTGAAGAGACCTAATCTACGTTTGATAGGTGTACATGAATGTGACGAAGAGAATGAATCCAAGCTGGAAAATACTCTTCAGGATATTATCCAGGAAAATTTCCCCAACCTAGCAAGGCAGGCCAATATTCAAGTCCAGGAAGTACAGAGAACACCACAAAGATATTTCTCAAGAAGAGCAACCCCAAGGCACATAATCGTCAGATTCACCAGGGTGGAAATGAAGGAGAAAATGCTAAGGGCAGCCAGAGAGAAAGGTCAGGTCACCCACAAAGGGAAGCCCATCAGACTCACAGCAGATCTCTTGGCAGAAACCCTACAAGCCAGAAGAGAGTGGGGGCCAATATTCAACATCCTTAAAGAAAAGAACTTTCAACCCAGAATTTCATATCCAGCCAAACTGAGCTTCATAAGTGAAGGAAAAATAAAATCCTTTGCAAACAAGCAAGTACTCAGAGATTTTGTCACCACCAGGCCAGCTTTACAAGAGCTCCTGAAAGAGGCACTACACATAGAGAGGAACAACCAGTACCAGCCATTCCAAAAACATACCAAATGCTAAAGAGCATCAACAAAATGAAGAATCTGTATCAACTAACGGGCAAAACAGTCAGCTAGCATCAAAATGGCAGTATCAAATTCACACATAACAATATTAACCCTAAATGTAAATGGACTAAATGCACCAATCAAAAGACACAGACTGGCAAATTGGATAAAGCCAAAACCCATCGGTGTGCTGTATCCAGGAAACCCATCTCACATGCAAGGATACACAAAGGCTCAAAATAAGGGGATGGAGGAAGATTTACCAAGCAAATGGAGAGCAAAAAAAAAAAAGCAGGAGTTGCAATTCCCATCTCTGATAAAATAGACTTTAAGCCAACAAAGATCAAAAGAGAGAAAGAAGGTCATTACATAATGGTAAAAGGATCGATACAACAAGAAGAGCTAATGATCCTAAATATATATGGACCCAATACAGGAGCACCCAGATATATAAGGCAAGTTCTTAATGACTTACAAAGAGACTTAGACTCCCACACAATAATAATGGGAGACTTTAACACTCCACTGTCAATATTAGACAGACCAACCAGACAGAAAATTAACAAGGAAATCCAGGACTTGAATTCAGACCTGGAACAAGCAAACCTGATAGTCATTTAGAGAACTCTCCACCCCAAATCCACAGAATATACATTCTTCTCAGCACCACATCACACCTACTCTAAAAGTGACCACATAATTGGAAGTAAATCACTCCTCAGCAAATGCAAAACAACCGAAATCATAACAAACAGTCTCAGACCATAGTGCAATCAAGTTAGAACTCAGAATTCAGAAACTAACTCAGAACCGCACAGCTTCATGGAAACTGAACAACTGGCTCTTGAATGTTGACTGGATAAACAATGAAATGAAGGCAGAAATAAAGAAGTTCTTTGAAACCAATGAGAATGAAGACATAACATACCAGAATCTTTGGGACACATTTAAAGCAGTCTCTAGAGGAAAATATATAGCTGTAAGTGCCCACATGAGAAGAGTGGAGAGATCCAAAATTGACACCCTATCGTCAAAATTGAAAGAGCTAGAGGAGCAAGATCAAAAAAACTCAAAACCTAGCAGAAGACAAGAAATAACTAAGATCAGAGCAGAACTGAAGGAGATAGAGACACAAAAAACCCTTCAAAAATTCAATAAATCCAAGAGCTGGTTTTTTGAAAAGATCAACAAAATAGACCACTAGCCAGATTGATAAAAAAGAAAAGAGAGAATTACCAAATAGATGCAATAAAAAAGATAAAGGGGAAATCACCACAGATTCCACAGAAATTCAAACCATCATCAGAGAATATTACAAACAACTCTATGCACATAAACTAGTAAACCTGGAAGAAATGGATAAATTCCTGGACACCTGTGTCCTCCCAAGCCTAAACCAGGAGGAAGCCAAAACTATGAATAGACCAATAACAAGGTCTGAAGTTGAGGCAGCAATTAAGAGCCTACCACACAAAAAAAGCCCAGGTCCAGAAGGGTTCACAGCCGAATTCTACCAGACACACAAAGAGGAGCTGGTACGATTCCTTCTGAAACTATTCCAAATAATCCAAGAAGAGGGAATCCTTCCCAAATCATTTTATGAGACTAACATCATCCTGATACCAAAACCCGGCAGAGACTCAATAAGAAAAGAAACTTCAGGCCAATATCCGTAATGAACATAGATGCAAAAATCTTCAATAAAATACTAGCTGGCCAATTGCAACAGCACATCAAAAAGCTTATCCACCATGATCAAGTAGGATTCATCCTGGGGATGCAAGGCTGGTTCAACATACACAAGTCTATAAATGTAATTCACCACCTAAACAGAACCAAAAATAAAAACCACATGATTATCTCAATTGACACAGAGAAGGCCTTTGACAAAATTCAACAGCCCTTTAGGCTAAAAACCCTCAATAAACTTGGTATTGATGTAACATATCTCAAAATGATAAAAGCTATTTACGACAAACCAACAGCCAATATCATACTGAATGGGCAAAAACTGGAAGCATTCCCTTTGAAATCTGGCACTAGACAAGGATGCCCTCTCTCACCACTTCAATATAGTACTGGAAGTTCTAGCCAGAGCAATTAGGCAAGAAAAAGAAATAAAGGTATTCAAATAGGAAAGGAGGAAGTCAAATTGTCTCTATTTGCAGACGACATGATAGTATATCTAGAAGACCCCATCGTCTCAGCCCAAAAACTCCTGAAACTGATAAGCAACTTCAGCAAAGTCTCAGGATATAAAATCAATGTGCAAAAATCACAAGCAT